ATCCCCCCAGAAAAAAAATTTTAAAAAATCTACTTTGGATAAGCAAGTATCCTTCAGAAGCTGCTGGGCAGCTGAGAGTATTTAATCAAAGGAACATGGCGGGAAGTAAACTACCGTCAGTCAGTCCTGTTTCATCTAAAAAACTACTTATGATCCCACCACCACACAAACACTGTCTGAAAAACTGTTATTCAGTTGTACTGTTCTGTCTATTGGAAACCATCATCAAACTCCCAGTCTACACCTTTCTCATGGCTGTTCCTATCCACTCGAATAAGTACTGTTTTTAACATGCATAGCTTTTCTAACATGGTTCTGTTTCTCACCTGATGCATTTATGGTAAACCAACATATCCCCTTACAGTTTTTAAATTGCTAGGCTTCCAGTTCTTAATAACTTGTACCTGGCTGTCCTTGGCCTTGCCTTGCTATAAGTTCTTCTTTGTCTGTTCCTGTAATTGCTTGAATGCTTCTGTTCACATGCACATACATACATACATCATTCCAACAAAATCATTACTCATTCCCCTGCATTGGTACCTAGTGCTCTGTGAAACTCGTCTAACTGCAAAGGAGGGAATCCCCTCAGCAAATTGCTTCAGCATGGGAGAATGGCTACTTGTTTTTCAAATGTTTTGATTGTTCCTCATAATTATAGTGAATGGAATGTACTTATTCTCTACAGTAATATATACCATGCAGCTGAAAGTCTTATAGAACTGCAGAAAGGAGGTTATATCACAAAGTATTAACACTTTATAACTGTGTACAAGCTGACTGAGATACTTCTCTGAAAATAAATACAAACAAGAGCAGAAAGTGTTTAACTCATATATCATAAAGGCAAATGCATACAGAAGAAGTGAAATTTACTTTTACGGATTCGTCACTAAAAAAGGCATTTTCAAATGGACTGATATTAAAATGTTTTCAGAGACACTGGCCAGAGAGTTTATAAATAAATAAATAAATAAATAAATATATATATATATACACACACACACATACATAAAATGGTTGATACAGTAGTTGGTGGAAACAACTTCAACATAGCTACTTGTTTAGCCAGACAATAAAAACAATTTTTTCTTTATGAACAAGACAGTCATTAACAGTTGAGATACATCTCAATTAAACAATAACTAAAAGCTGGTGCTGCTCTTGTCTTATTGTACGTATATTAAAGGTAAGGAACTCCCTTTTGGTAACGAAAATATCTAAGGATGTATGAATGAGTGCCAAGATGACTGCAAAAGCAGTATATATCTATATAACTGTGCAGGACATTTTTGCAAACCTGGCTAAATCAAATACTATAAATCAGCCAACTATTAATCAGCCCACTTATTAAAAGATATTATTTCTAGTATAACTGAAGCATGTAACTTGTATTCATCTATTCAGCTAGAACTATGAAAAAAAGGCATCAGAAATAAAACAAGAAAAGTAAAGAAAGCATCTATGTATTCCCTTTCCTTTCCTATGAGCAAAACTTGGTTATAGTTTCTAAAAGTCTGAACTGTAAATACAGACGAACATCAATTTTTTGTTATTGGTTACTGCCCAACTTTAACAGGCTGTTCTCTATAACCTTTTATATTTGATAACCTTGAAATAAGATAATATCACTAAATACTCATATCTTTCATTTGAAGGAAATCTTCTAAATATTTTTAGTTTTAGAGTCATAGGAACAGGCAGAATAGATTCACATACACGTGGAGCTAGCACTGAGTAGTACACAACAACTCATTCCCTTTTTAAGCCTTTTACTTCCCCCTAACCACCATCTAATTAATTCGCCTACCACTTGGCAGGCTCTGGGACAATGCTCCCATAACCCCCTCCCATCTAACTCGGTCATTAACTAGGTTAGGGGAGCGTTTCCCTTGTAAATGAGTCCCCTAGGCATTTTTAACATTTTTCCACAAAAGAGAGAGCAGAACATACTTATTTTACTTCATATACAACAGACAATATTTCTCTTTTAAGCATAAAAAAGGAAATAGTCCTCAATACCACTATGAAGAGACAAAAATATTTCTGCCTGCACAGAAGTAACTGATAAAGGAAAGCTATTAGGATGTCATAAAGAAATGAATAATGAAAGTAGTATGGCAGTGCTTTAGAAACTGATGGCTCTGACTCTCCAAGCTCTGCCCTTAGTTTTGTTCGGCTCATCTCCAGGAGGAGATAGTAGAAACAGAATGGGTCCATCCAAAACAGGTCAAAATAATCACACACAACCATTCAGCCTGAACCCTAACTCCAGAGCACAAGCAAGGCTGAGATTAATGCTTTTTTAGGAGTATGAAGAATCATCCAAAGATAGGGCTTACTCGAGTCCAGCTTGCTTGATGGCACAGGACCAGCTAGAACTGGCCTAGCCAGTTGAAAAATATAATCAGATATACTTTAGCTGTGCTAAAAATAACATGATATAAAGACAAGCTGTGGTGAAGATGCTAGTCAATATGGCAGATTTCTGGATTAGCAGTTCTGCTTAACAGGTTTAAATGATCTGTTGGTCTGTAAACTACAGAATGTAGTACTTAAAGATCTGAATAATAAATCTATGAGCTAATCATTAATGTCTTGCATAATGTCACTTCTAGATGAGAACTTCCATATCATGTAGAAGGGCAATGAATGCAGACATTTTCAAATTAGGAAAGATGACAACAATTAAGGCACTTAGTGAAAACAAAAAAGGAAAGAAAAGATGCAGACAATGGATGATATGACAAAAGTGTGAAATACTGAGAGGAATGGAGAAGGTATATACATGGCTTCTCTACACACTCTATATATAAAGAGATCAAAACAAAATACGAAATGTGTCTCAAGTCAGCAGAGGAGATGAAACACCCACAGAAAATGCTCCTTCTGCAAATCACATCAGTCTTTTCTACTCCCTTTGGTTCATATTGATGACATCAACATGAAGATATAAAAACCAGCCTGAGTCTAAGTTCCTATTAGAGTCTCTTCTAAAAGGGCAAACTACTTCATTTTTAATGAAGGATAAGTGTTAGCAATCAGCAGAGGAACTATCAAAGAAAAAAAAATTAGTACTGAATTGTCTCTGCCATTTAACATAAAAATGGCACTACTGGATCAGACCAAAAAGTCCACGTAGTCCCATATATTCCCTCTCTGGCAGTGGGTAACAAAGGGCAACTAGAGGAGAATTGAATGGCAAGAGGGAAATCACATTTTCCTCAGCATAATTCCTGTGTGATTGCATTGAAATTTTGGAAAATAACAGTTTGGGTGGGGAAAGAATTTATTGTAGTAAAATTAAGGAAAAAGAATAAAAACAGACCGTGCAAATACTTAACATAACAAAACAAAGTAAGACTTAAATGTGTAACACATTATTTTCTATCCACAAATTGAGAAAATGGCATAAAAAAAAGCATAAAAACATTTTCTGAGATGTGAATTCACATACTTTTCACACTGTCATACTAATGTTTAAGTAGGGAAACAGTTCAGTTTAAAGATAAATGATATGACCATATCAGATATTATCAGGAGGATTCTGAATTAAGAAGAGAATATGAAACTTTTCAGTTTATAACATGTAAGTTTTCCTGTTCTCACAAGGATGTAAGTGGCAAATATTTTAGAAAAAAATACCAGGTTTTTCCCACCTACAAAAATTGAACAGATGTTGCTCCTAATGTGAAAAAGTGAACCATGTGAAAAATGTGTAGTATTCATGCCCTAATTTTAAAGGGAGATCTATACCGAAAACATTGTTTTAATTCCCATTAAATTTCCTTTTCAGATAGGTTTGCACTCTGAAGAGATTCCAGTTGAAGGGAGATATTCAGATTGTGCAGACACTCGAATTCAATTTCAGCACCGATTTAGAGAAGCTCAGTCAGCAACAATTGCATACGTTTCAGACAACAGTTACAGCACAATTTGCAAGCATTATGAAATTAATCCCTCGCCTTCAGAGAGCAAAGGCTTCCATGATTTTAGCTACAAGGATATCTCCTGATTGGTATGAGAATAGGATATTCCCTTTACCTTCCGTATAGCCTACAGAATAAAAGGTACCCTTAACAAATTGAAACCGGAAGATACCCTGGCTATTACAAAGGACATTAATTACATGTAAATATTATATGGTTAAGGGCACTTCACAATTACCTTAAAAGACACAGCTAAAAAGCCAGAGAGACAACAACTCTATCAACTATATGAGGAACTGAAATCAGAAACTCCCAGAACTGAATGTATTCATTACCAGAAGTAACAGTTGAGCACTCTACAGCACAGGATTGCAAAAAGAAGAAAATTCTGTGCATACTTAAATTTGGTCTGAGTTGGGAATATATATATTTTTAAATCCAAGGAATCACACACAAATGTAGCACATTAGCTCTACCCTGCAGAAGATTTGACTATTTTATTTGTACACCTACATCTTTTAACCTATTTCTGAATTTAATAAGTATCACTCATTCATTTATTCTACATCAAATATATCTGCTTTTCAATTAAGTAGTCAATTTTTACAAGTAAAAACAAGTCTTAGGATATTAAAATATGCTCCATTATCTTAAAACTTTTGAAGAAATACTTTCTACTTCTAGCTATACTTGTCATGCTCTAACCGGATTTAGGACTTGAGCAAACATTCCCCAAAGTTCTGTGCTATACAGCTGAAATCTCCTTGAGCAGTATAGATTCGGAAAAGTTAAAAGTTACTCATTACTTTTGAAAGCACTATTTATGGGCAATATCAACAAAGATTCAGGTCTCGGCCAGAAAGCCATATTAGATCTCCAGAATAAGAATTATAAACTAACTTTTCATACATAAAATGCAGAAAAACAATAAGTATTTCCATTTTAAAATTACATCATTGAAAAATAATATATAATTTATTTCATAATTTGCCCTGGTAAAATTTTCTGTGCATTGACCATTGTAAAGCAAAACAGAACACTGGAAAGTGCAGTTGTTTGCTAGAATCCCATTACCTGTGTGCCAGCAGCACCCTGAAGGTCATCTGATTCAGTCCCAAATAACTTGGCAGCAAGTTTGACCAATCCCAGTTCCATTCAGTAAGGGTTGACTGTTGATACATGGGAAGAAGCTATTGTTAGTTATTAATCAGTGTTAATATGATCAGTAAATTAAAGCTCCAGCTGTGATATACTAACCAAGAAGGAGGGGGGTCTAGAACAAGGACTTAGACAGATGATATCAATCATGTGCACAGAAGATGATTTTTGTTCCAGTAAGACAGCAATTAATTTATAAATCCATTTGGGGATGTAACCATTATTTATAAAAAGATAAATCAGTTTTTGAACCGTTATTCTTCCAACTGTTAATGGCATTTTGCCCAAACACTTTGTCTGAGAGCTTGACTCTTTTTTTGAAAAGCAAAATAATTGGCAACTTTTTATTTAACAGCAATTAACATTTTCTACTGTTAGTTTGTCATGCAAAACTTAGTATAGTTGGAACTTAAGATGTAATGTGTATCTTAATTAGAGAATGATGATTTACTTCTCTACTTTTTGTAAGGAACTCTAGTTACCAGACGGTTATTATAAATAATAGTAAGCCTATAAAATATGAACTAACATAACCTCATATTGCTTAATAAATAAAAAAATCTACAATAACGGTGGACAAACAGAAGACTATACATGATATTCTTATGTTTACAAAACAGCACTGCTTAATTTCCATTGCCAGTGCTGGCCAAGTAATGACTACAATTCAACATTCTTGGGAAATAATCATTCAAAAATTATTCTTGTAACACTACGGTGCTGATTGTTAACACTGAGTGCTTAAAAACATTGAGGAAGCTAGTCAAAACAATGGAAATATCTTGCATTGTATCTTTTTCTTCTTACAGGCAGCAGCTGGTGCTTCTGGGAGAAAAGAATCAATGCAATTCCCCCCAGGTAATCCCTCCCCTTCCTTCCACGTTTATTTTATTATCATCCTTTTTTTCATTTGATTTTCTCACTAACCCTCACCTCTGGCATGCACTGAAAGATAAGACAAAAAAGAAAGGTGAAATACAGAGTAAGAAAGTGAGAAGAAACTAGCCAAAGGAAGAGCAATATAAAGTGAAAGTGGAAACTGAATGAAGAAGCAAACAACTGATAAACAAGAAATGAGGGGAAGAGTCAACCGAGAGAATGGTGGGAATGAGAACAAATAAATGAGCAGTAGATGAACAGGGGAAAGAAAGCAGGCAAGCGTTCAATCCTCTACACTGAATTTAAAATAAATAAATAAAAAATATGGAGAAAATACTTGTAAAATCAAGTGGGATAAAAAGGAGGAGCTGAACAGACAGTAGCAAACGTCATAAGAACAAATAGGAAAATGCATAAATACACCAGATAACTCAGGACACCAGACCAATCAGATCTATCCAAAAATAAAGGAACTGTTAAAAAAAAAAAGTCACTTCAGATAACAAAAATGAATTCTTTGTAGTATTTTTCTTCATTGGACCGGAGAGGAGTTGTATAATTTAGACTTACTCTTATTAGACAATAAAGCAGCAGCACTGGCAGAGATTGAGGTGTCAGGACAAATTGATAAAAATCAAGAGCAACAAGTTACTAGGACCAGATGGTGATTATTCAAGATTTTTGCAGGAATTTAAGAATGAGGTAGCTGAACTCGTAACAGAAATGACACACTTCCTAAAATCAGCTATTGAACTAAAGGATTGAAAGGTAAGAAGCATTTTTATTAAAGTGCTAGAGTTGATCTCAAAAATAATGGATCAGTGGCCTTTATTTCAGGACCCATAAAGTTGGTAGAAATTTTAATGAAGTAACTTGCTAAATATGACATACTGGCAACAAATTAGCAAAGCTTCAGAAGAGGAAAGTCATCCACTCTAGTGTACTACAATTTTTACATATTCCAGCAAACAACGCAAGAAATTTTCTTTCAGAAAGCTTTTAAAATAATTTCTTTAAAGAATCCTGCAGTGAGGAAGCTAAGACTGTGTCTACACTATATAACACAACACAATATAGAGAGTCTTTGGTTAGAGCTGCACCAGCTTTCTGGAATCATAAGCAGTATTGCCATGCCTACTCAAATTGGGTCTTTTGAGAGAAATATTTAAAAAATACAATACATAATTAACTCATTGACAAAATACATTGTGAAACCAGGATTCACATTCACAAGAATTACATGTTAGTTCACATATTTAAAAAAATCTAGTTACATTAGATTTAATAAAAATCAAAAAGTTAATCACAAATTATAAACTATCCAGCTTCATGGTAGTGGCCAACCACTAAGAAATGGATTTAAGAAGAAATATATCCTATGGGAAGAAAACTTGATCCTTGCCAACGCGCTTGCATTTTCTACAAGTACTGGCAATAGCCTCCGCAAGAGACCAGACACTGAACTATATTGACCACTATTTTATAAATAGAAAGTCCCGCATTGCTAAATAAATGTGCTATTTTTATGATAAAGAGAACTAAATTCTTTAATTCTATTATGAAGTGCAGGAAATAAGTCTATCATTGTCAACAACAGGTTCGGCACATGGTACTTTCAGCCCTGTGATTTACTGTTCTTTTTTTTTTTTTTATGCTAAAATACCTTCCTGTATTCTGATAACAGATTTTATGCCAAAAGTTTACAAAATCCAAAGCAGTCTCATACAAACTATCCCTTGTCATCTGTTGATTAATAGAGTACTGCAAACCTGTCATGTAGCAGAAAAATTCTGCCCTGAGTTGTCACTACTTGAAGGTCTTATTCTACTACACTATTAATGAATTGAGAATTGAGGCACAGCAAACTCTTTTCTGCATTTCATATTGGAATAAGTGATCCTGTACTCTCTTAAATTCTGTCCATGTAGTATACTTGCAGACGGACTAATGGAAGAAAAAGTATACTTTTAAAACCTGTTCATCTGGAATAGGAAGCCTTGTGAAACTAGTATTAATCCTCCCTTGCAACATGACAATGATTCAGCATTCATTAAGCAACAGGAAAAAAAAAGATATATTTTACAGCAATATACCTGATGAAATTGTCCAATACCACCACAAGTGAGAAAGGAGGTTATACCATTTAAAAACAAAATTGTACTGAAAAAGGGTCTCTTTCCACCAGAAGTCTGTAAAGTGAACTTCATGTAACTTAAATAGAATTTATTTTTAAATATTTGGAATCCTAGGGAATCAAAGCTGTAGCTGAGGGATTAAGAGGACTTGAGAAAGTATAATGCAAATTTATTTTTTCAAGTGTCCAAGTGCTTTCAGGAACTACATTCCATTCTGTCAAGCAACTTAGTCATGTAGCTCTCTAGTGGAGATTCAGGCACCTCAATCTATTTTCTTTAACTTATACATTATCAGGAAACTAATTTCTAAAAGTAAAATATATTCCGGTATATATCACCAGCATAGCTTAATGAAAAACATAAACATGAATGCTCTTCTCACTGTTTGTTCTTTACCTTGCTTAGTCTCATTATTCTGTGAATTCTATGCATTTCCAAAGTGTCCTTTACATTACTGCTTAGTACGTCTATGAAGGACTTACCAGGTGAGATTCTAAATGTGCACTTGGACTTTTGGCATAATTTTCAAAAGGACTAAGCCCTATTTACCATTACACAGAGGTAATACATGTCATTGTTAATAATGGGCTTTCCTTTACTATACTGAACTATCATAGAAAGTGTAAGGAATATATACATTATACACAATAATTCTGATAAAAGAAAAGGACAATAGCGCTCTTTGAACATTATGCCACTATAAAGGGTGCCCTTGTTAGTTTCCTGAGTAATCATCTTCCTTTGTACTTCATTAAATGTGAACCCATGTAATTAATTCTGTTTTCATGATTTCAGTCTCCATCACTATCATGCTTATAAAAAGATGTAGTATATTATAGTACAGTATAAGCAAGGTTCCATATTTCCACCAACCTGATTGAACATTTTCGCACAAGATTGGCTGTGCACCTCAAAAGGGTTGAAGACAGGCTGCTCTTCTCTGCCCTTCAGTGTCAAAGGCAAGCATTGATTGGAGGTAACGCTCTCTTCAGAGGAATTCTCACAAGACAGCTGCTCTTTCAAATATTCCTTTTAAGGCAGAAAAACCGCACAAAACAATATATACCACTTAGCCTTCTTGACAATAATTTGCCAAAATCTCAAGCACAAATTTACTGTGTGCTTGGTAGAAATCCCTTGTAATTAAAGTAGGGAGTAAATAATCTCTCTTAAAATAGAAATCTTTTTTAAGAGTAACACAGCTCTACAGCAAATGGTAAACGACCTCCTTCAACATGCAACTGAAGGAATTCAAAATATTATAACTTATTATTTTGAAATTATCATCAAAATTTGTTCTCATTCAGTACATTTGTTAGGTGTGTATAGCTGAAGTGAAAAATAAACATATTTTCTATAAGCTGTTCTAATGTATGATGGTTATTATATGATTTCTTTTATATGATAAAATAAACAGAAATATTTAAAGTTATCATTAGGCAGCATGAAACAGTTATTACATGACTATAAAATAATTGTTCTATGGAAACGTTCAAATTGGTTGTTTAAATACAGGAAATAAATAATCTCCCACTCTTCAAAGCTATTTTTAATTATTTTAACATTCAAATACTTGAAGACATTTATGATTTACATGTCAATTTTAGAAACTACAGTGGAACAGACAGACAATTACTTTGGCCACAATTTTTCTGTTTTCACTTCTTAAACTCCTATGTAAATAAATCAACATTGCATGCCAATAAAGTGCTTTGATTAAATAGACCCATTTTACTAAGAGTTAGATAATGAAATGCTTAAAGATCTACTTGCTGGAAGGACTACTGTGATTAAAAAGTTTTTTATTATTAAAATAATAATACCCATAATGATAGCATTGCCATAACATTGAGCAAGTACTCAAGGTGAGTCTTCACTAAGATGGGTGGGATGTGAATGGTCCTCTTACTTTCCAGTAGCACTGAGATTATAAAAATTTTTCAGACTCAGGTGAGGGAATATGCACGCTACTTGTCAAGCCGCTCACTGCTCCTAAATGGATCTTTCTAAAAGAGTAATGTAATGATCAACTTAAGCTGATCCAACTGTGGTCTGGCCTAAAAGGAACATGTTCCCTCCCTACATGGATTGCAACTACTTCTTCCTTGCGTTCACACGAGCATATGTTGTGAAATCAGCCAGAAAAAAAAGAAAGGTTTCAGCCAGATCAGCAAGCCACACAATTTCTAGTAGAAGCACAAAGGGGGCCCTGGGAGCAGGAACGCACGAGGGCAAGAGAAAGAGCATCTCCGATGGTTGCAGCCAATTGTCAGGACTGCTTAAAACAATCATTAAATCATCTGAGTGTAAAGAGAGAATTAGAACTCAGGGGGTTTTTTTTGTTTGTTTGATTGTTTTTTTTTGCTTAAGCCAACAGTCAAAATCTGGCTGTGAAACCGTATCTTACTCATATTTTCTTACCCATCTCTTACCCATATTTATTCAGCCTTCAAAACTGTTTGGTTTTCGATTCATTCATTACTTCACGCCGTAACAAAGATGTTGAAGTTATGGTGAAGGGGATTATTTAAGAATTATTTCTATACATTTACCACTTAAAAAAAAAAATACACTGTCTTACTTGCACATATTTTTTCAATCCCTGTAGATAGTTCTAAAATAACCCTCTGGGTGTCACAGAGCCAGCAGTAGCAGAATCTTTTAGTTTTTCAGTAGAGATATTGGAACTCGCTGTCCATGCTTCCTAAGGTTTTGAAAATTTTAAGTGGGGTACAGAACCTGTGCAATACAGGCATTTTTTATCATCTTTGGATACTGTGAACTGTTTTCAGAAAGAGATTTAACCAACAATGGTAAATATATTATTTTAAGAGCTGCTTTAGTACAGTGTATATTGTATATTTATTGCATATGTACATTTACTGTATACTGAGTACAGTGTATATGTACCAGAAAAGGTCATGTTTTAAAAATCTGAAAAAAAAGTAGAAATGAAATAATGTTTGTAAACATGTGAGCTATAACCTCACTATCAGTGACTGGACACGAAACTATAAAGTAGAGGAAACGTTCTTGAGCCTGACGTCTCAGGAGAATTGGTTTTTCTTTGGTAGCAGTTAGTCAAGGACGCTTTTAAAACTGATTATTCTTTTTGATAAATACATGAAGCACAGTAGACTGCAATGAGTTGTATAGTATCTATTATAGATCTTAAAAACATTGTAGTTTTATTTCAGCTCAATTGCTTTTTTACTCTCTTTTCTAAGGAAAATTATGAACTACAGTTTTCTAACTCATCATTTTGGCCTCTATTCACCTGAAATTATTAAACAGTGCGGCATAAAGATATCCAAACTAATTTTAAGTACACTACCCCTTCATAGTTTAAGGCATCAAAAAACAAAAGCATGGACCTTCACAGAGACAGATCAAGTCTATCTCTTGGTAGTCAGACACCTCAGACATAATTACAAGTTATGAAAAATAACATTGAAAAGTGCATTATGAAGATAGCAGGTTAAGCATTATAACTTTTTGTAATGGTTTCAAAGCCAAGTTGAAGTAACGTCTTGAGTCCTTCTGTGGAGTCTAGCTGGTTAGGGTGGTGGGTTTTTTTTTTTTTTTTTTTAAAGACAAGACAGTTTTTTCCACTGAGAAATGTTCTATTTTTAATGAAGCTCTAACTAGCTGCAGAAATTCAAGGAGAGACACCTGGGATGCAGAAAGACAGGTTCAAGTCCCTCTTCCACCTAATTCTCTCTCAGCCTCTTACCTCCTGTTGGAGCTGCTCCACTTTGTATAAATAACTGAATACTCAAAGGAATCAAATTTTGAACTGGGGTTTCTAAAACCTGAGATGGGCATTCTACCCCTTCAGCTAAAATATGATTCTATTTTTGACCCTAGAAGCTACAGAACGGATTTTTCCAGCAATTTCTACAAAACAAAACAGCTCCAACAGGGGAAAATGACAAAGTTCCACCCTGGAAAACTAATGGTCTACTGGTTAGTGAGCATCTAGTTTGGTTGTGGGAGATGCACATTCAATTCCCTGGTCTAAACCAAGCAGAATAAAGATTTGCGCCTGGATATCCTGTCCCATAGGTGAGTGCCCTAACAATGGGATTCTGTGCTATTTTAGAAGGTCTCTCTCCTCATGTTTTCTTCATTCCTTTCTACTAAGAGTAATCCTGAATACGCTCCAGGTGAAAAGGTTTTAGTTTGAACTGTATTAGAATAATAATTTTCATTTCAATTCCTGCACCATTTAATTATTTGAGATAAAACTTGAAAAGATTCTGTATTCTATTAATATTAGGTTGCCATCTCTGCATACATGCTTACATTGCTTCTAAAACTTCCAAATACAGATGGATAAAAGTTGCTCTTAAGCCTATACTTAGGGAACTAAACGGTTGATTTGATTTTCAGAAGCACAGTGCCAGTAATGAGCTGCTCTCCACCGCCTGCTAATAGACATAGCTGGTTTTTGCAAAAAATTGGTTTTTGCTATCAATTAAAAAAAAATAAAATAAAAAAAAATCTTGGCCTATGCTGGTATTTGCATTATATTATAGACACTTTGTACACTTGCAACAATCTTAACAGCACCTGCTTATGCACTCAAGGAATAGTAATTTAGTAATCAAAGCCAATAAACAGAACTTTCTTAATTAAGCTATGTAGATCTGTATCACCATACAATTTAAGCAAATCTGTGTTTATTTCAGTGTATACTATAAGAATGGTTTTGGTAATTTAGAGCAATTTAGTACAGCCTTAGAAATAATGAGATAATTCTTTTACCTTGCCCAAATTCAATGTGCAGCAAACAAATCTGAATTTGTTTACTGTAATTTTGAAAGCACTTTAGCTGAGCAGAGTTATCTAGATTAAATAAGGTTTTCATGTGGATGCATTTACTTCCTCAGCACAGCCGCAGGGTTTGTTTGTTTTTTAAATCAGGGGAATTGATTTACCACATTTAATTTTACTTCCTGTAACAGTCAGATTTTCAATAGCCTGCTGACTTTTTTCCCCCCACTGTTTTCAAACTCCTAAAATGCATCTATGGTCTATGATATAAATTTGACATAAGTTTATGAGCCATACTACTGTTTAAGTACATAAATAAAAATCTACATTGTTTCCTGTAAAGTAATCTTTTCTGTACAAATGCAGAAAAGCCTACACTGAATAGATTCTATTACAATACAATATTGGATTTCATATTGACTTTAAGAAGCATTATCACCTCCTTGACTAACCCTTAGCTGCCAGCAGACGCTGCCTCAGGCCAGTACACACCTAATTGCTCGGTAAAAAGGCCGTTTCCCTACCTCATTGAGCCGGATGATGTGATAAATTTGCCTCAGGTACTCGCTGCCACCTGGTTTGTGGCAGATATCCAGGACCATCATGTTTATTTTCTGCTCAGTGAATTCCAGTGCAATATCTCCTTCCTCTAATGTTGCACCTTCTACTGCAACTGAAGCACTAGAAGACAGAAAAGATACAAATATTAAGTCAAATTTCTAAAAATCAAAATACACAGTCAGCTAAAACCACATGTAATAATATTTGTAAATATTTGGATTGCACAAAATAAATCTTGCCACCTACGCATTTCTGAAGCCTTTATTTAAATATATAATAAAACAGTATGGTAAATAACTAAATGCATGTTCAAGTTCTTATGTAAATAAAATTTTCATATTACACCAATTTTAATTATCTTAAAACCTGAAAGATGAAAACAAAACATGCCTTACTCTAAAGACATACAACGAGCAAATATTTTTAATTTTCTTTTGCATTAGAGAAGTATCTTTACTACTTTGAATAGCACTAGCATTTGATCTTTTGTACATTTTTCTTTGCTTGTCGATGAACATATTAAAGACTAATTAACATGTCAGAAAGGTAGCCATTACCCTAAATATAGGTTATAAATTTTAAACTGAAGTCTTTTTTTTCCACTGGTATGGTGGTAACCATTTCAAAGGTATCCATTCGCCACTTGTTGCACTTTTTGCCTTCTAACTCTGTACTTTTCCTTCTTTTCTTTCCAAAAAGTATTTGTGTCTAACTGCTACGAGAAAATCTGAAGGTGATAGGCCCAAACGCCTTGAAAAAATATACACTCAAAACTCTGACCACTCTTATACTACTCTCCCTGCATAAAATTTAAGTTACAAACTCTGTACTTGCTTAGTATTGTAGATAGATAAAGCATTAAGAAAAAGCTACTAAGACTAATTCTCCTCCTCAAATATTAGAGTTGCAGCATAGATACAAGTTGGCATCTAGACATGGATACAAAGGAACTTGAAAGACCACCAAATTATATTTTGCCTTCTATAATAGTTATTAGATTAATTTTAAATCTACAAAATTAGCATTCTGAATAAAAAACAAGATTTTCATTGTTTGGAGGTCTAAAAAAAAAAGTGCTTTGGTGCAGTCAGCTGTAAGTTGCAGTTTACTGTTGAAAACGTGCCATGATTACAAAATTAGTTCTGCGGAAAGTTGCTGTTGACCTGAAGGCTCACTTAAATGCTACACAGCTGCTGGACATTAAAGCTGATATTGCTTCCACATGCAGCTTCAGAACTTCCTACAGAGCAAATAGTTTCAAAATATAAACTATAATTTTGTTCTCTGCTGAATGGAAGTAAATAATACTATGCTATTATGGGATATTTTACAAAAAGCTTCAAAAGAAATTGATCTTTAGAATTAAAGCACATTTCAGGTTGATCTTTCAATACCGCATAGATACACAAACTGAATTTCTCAAACTTAGAGGTTGTCATTGAAAAAGTTGAGGACCTCTGACAAAGGAGTGTATCAGTGTCAGCACCCAAATTGTATCCTTTCCTGTCTGTCACTGTGCAGGTGAAGCAGATGATTGGATTCAGTCAGTGCTATGATTAATGAGTTCCTCTCTGGATTTGGGACTGCCTATCAATCATGTCATTAGAAAGAATGTGGCCTGAAAGAGGCAGACCTCAGCCAAGGAATAACTGCATTCATCTTAATCTGTATATTCACCCAGCCAGCCAAGTCAGGGTCACCATGATGAAAAACAATAATCTTCAACTCGACAAATTACTTTGCAAAGACAGACGTTTCTTTTCTTTTGGGCCGTGTGTTCTTCAGAGTCCAACGTGATTGTTTACAGCTCTGATGCTACTATAAAGCAGGGGTTATTTTAATGAATGGTAATTCTTCCAGGCAGTACACAAGATAGGCAATGTATACAGCCGCTACTTTCTAAACCTTTTGCTACTGATTTAGAGGGTTTAAAACATTTCCCTAAAGACAAAGTTGAATTTGTATGCCACAAATGGAACCCACATACTGGTTGGACTTTTTATATAGTTAGCAGTCTTGATAACAATAATTTAACACAAAAACACTCAGGAGTTGCTTTTAAAAGCCTGGTGAACTTCAAAGATGTTTTCCATAACTGCATGCATATATATATATGTATATTTATATTTATATAATTATACTATATATGCATATATATCTCACAAATTTTTGGAGTTTATGGGTTTTCTCACATACATACTGCATTTATGAATGTGCATATGTTTACCTGCAAAATTCTTTAATTTTGGAAAGTACTATACAGAAAGTAATTTTACACTGCTTTAGTGAAGATACTCAAATATAACTATTGCTATTTCAAACAAATCAGGTAAACATCACAACTCTCTTTTCGAAAGATCTGCTATTAGTTTTGCGATTATGTGAATCATTACCTAGTTTAATTGATACTTCCATTGCAGCTTTACTATATTAATTTTATAATTTGCCTTTATAACAATATTTTGTCTCTACGTTGTACATCTTAGCTATTAACTAACTCAATTTTTTTCCCAGAAATTGTCTCATGATATTTGGATATAAAATGGAAAAAGTAACATTTATGCTAGGCTTCTACTGCAGAAACCCCACTGAAGTCAGGGGACTTAGTTTCATAACTCCGCCATATAAATAGTAAGTCGGCAAATAAGTAATGCATTCTTAAGTTCCTTAGACTTGAAATTAGGAGCCCCAGTTCAAAAAAACAAACAAAAAAAAAAGTTCTCACTTTGGCTGGCACTGCATACACAGAGAAAACATTTTTACATTATGTTCTAGTTATGGATGAAAGAGTCATTTCCCACAGTATGATACCTGACGTGGAAAATGTATTAAAGCATTTTTGACATACGTTAAAAAACAGAACAGGGTAGTATATTAAAATTAAAATCCTTAACTTCAGTAGAGGTACAAAAAACCAGAGCTTTAGCTTTTAGGGGGAGGTTATCCCAATATTTGTCTTACGTTGCATTTCTTTCTTTAAAAGATACCTATTCTCCTCTCAGTAACGTTACAAACAGTACTACGGCACTATTTTGTTAAGTATCAGTCTACACGTTATTATGTTTTTTTTATTCTGTGATTGTTTCAGTGACTGGCATATGGCTTCAATCTTTTAATCATTGGATTAGAGCTTGTAAATTAATATTAAATTGAAATGTAAAGATTACAAAGGTCAATGTCAATGAGCGTTTGTGTGACACTTATTGCTTATTGCTACTCATGTTAACTGGCTACTCGTAGAAACAGGATACTGTACCTTACAGCACTGCATGAAAGTCTGTTCGTTGATAGCAGCGATTCATATCTAGAATCACTATGTAATTTATTTATATAGACAGTTACTGTTGGGATATTAATGGCTGCAGCTTTCAAGAATATTCCTGAATCTTACCTTCCGTAGTCAACAATAAATTTAATATTAGAAAGAAACAGTATTTTTATAGAAACATATGTATAGTATACAAATCCACATTAAAAAAAAGACAAGACTATGAACACATTGACATACACATAGCTCCTTGAAAAAACATTACAGCTGGATGTCAGATATGCAAGAAGGTGAAATTTCCTCACAAAGACACAGCAGGGTACTTTTCTTGTCCTGTTCGGATATGTCCTACTTGCCCTCCAGGTTTGTTATGTTTTAAAATGAAGTATGCTTACTTTTTAATCACAAATGAACACGGAAAGCCTTTTACATTCCCTCTTAATTTAATCACCACAGCAAAATTCATTTATAAATATATTACGATGCCTCCTAGTCAGTACACCTGTTCACGTACTGAAAGATGTACCAAATAATAAATTGTCTGCATTTACGGATCATCATGAAAATCTGAAATCTGAAGTCTAGGAATAGACTGTTCCCATGAAACAACTGCAGTTTACTTTTTTAACCACAAAATTAACTTGCAAAAATAGACTATGAAAGCATCAACATTAAGAACTAATGTATTTCACTTAACATAAGATCACCATTCATCTAAAAAATTAAAAAATAAATTGAACAACAGTCATAAGCACAGCAGTAATCCAGTAAAATAAAGAACAAACAACAGCAGCTGAAAACTGGCAAATTCTTACCAGTCTGTGCTCAATTTTCTTGCTTTCAGCAACTGGCTTTCAATCCAGTTTGGTCTTTGTTGTTCAATGCTCTGTATAACCTTCTGGGTCACTTGGTTAGGACCACTTTTCTGTTTTCCCATAATACTTTCTAAGCACACCCGAACTAAACTGAGTTTTTCTTTGCTCCATCTGTCAAGTGTTGCACCTGTTAAAAGTTCTGCAGTATTTCCATCCTCAAATATCCGACATATAATTACAATCAAGTTCCAGACAAGCAGACCAGCTTTCTTCAATTCAACAAAGTTTCTTGACATTTTTCTCTCAGCCAGAAAAAAGAAGTACTTAATTGGGGGAGGCAAACATGCAATCACTGTAGGTAACTTGCTGATTACAATAGATACTGCCTGAGCTGCAAGCCTTGTGAAGCCTTAAAAAAAGAAAGAAAAGAAGATATGATTAACATTAACATTCTAGTTCTATTACAGCATGCTTCTGAATGTTGTATGATAATTTCAAACTTTCTTTTGTACCAAAAATGGGTAAAAAGCTTTAGTTCTCAACATCGAGCTAGACTTATATTGCACTTCCTCCATATGAATCCCCCAAAATCTCAACAATAACATGAATTGAAAACAGAGAACTTACTTAGAAAATTTAGAATTCAGATTGTGATTCTACTAACAATTAGTCCTGCTGTGCACAGTTATTATAGAATAAATGAAAAAGATAACAGCCAGGTATTCTGAGTAACTTGTAATAAAATGGTAAAATCATTGGCTTCAAAATTGTAGTTTGTTTGTTTGTTTTTTCCACTTCAAGAGTAGAGCAGTGTGCTAAATTTCTTAGGATACTAAGGATATTCATCATCTTTAGTTTTCTATCAGCATCTTTCTATTTTTAAACCTACAAATCTTCAGCTTATAGGCTTTCATATACGAAGGACAGACACTCTAATAGTTTTTTTTTTTTTTTTAACTATTTCCGATATTAAAAGTAACTATAAATGTAACTACAGAAAATACACTGTTGAAAAAAAAAAGATACATCTAAAATGAAAAAAAAAAAACCCAAAAGGTAAAGCAGACTTGATCAAAATCTACATTTTCAAAACTTCATGCCAGAATATACTACCGTAGTGTATATTCTATTGAAAATAACTCAGGCAATATTTTGGTGGCAATAAGTTTATGGTGAATTGTTTGCAAAATTGTTAGCATTTTAAAATGCTGGAGGCTTTAGGCAAAGTAGGTTAAAAAAGTAAATACCAGAAATCATCTTTACCTCCAATCCCCTTTAAAACATCTGCTATTATGTATATTATTTATCTTTCTTTAGTGACTGTTTCAACAACCAAGCACTAGCAAATTCATTACCAATTTTAGTGCTATACAAATATAAATCATTTTGTTGTGAAGTTGGGATGAACAAGTTTGTATCATTTCAGCCAACACTGCATATCTAAATTTAAACAGTCTTGAATAAAAAGATGATAGCTATAAGAAGAATGTTACAGCCATTAAGATAAGAGCAAAGACATTATTTACTCTGCCTTAAATCTCATCATACTACTGCCAGATAGTAAAAACATTTAAAGTACTAATGATTTTTTTAAAAAGCTCGGTTGTGTATGCAAGGGTGTAAAACTCAGGAAAGAGGTATTGAATTGTAATGCTGGAAATCCATTAAAACTTAAAAAAAAAAAAAACAAAACTAGCAGGATGCTTAGAAATCATTTTTTTTATTGTCAAATTATAACACTTACAAATCCTACCTGTTCAATTTTGATATGTACTCAGTAAATGCATAACTCTTATGACAAATTTATATAATAGTATAAATTTCACCTACATTTCCCAGATTCTTTTCTCTTCATTTCCCGAGGTGTATAATTCCATTCCTTTGGAACTGTTTTCAGTAAACTTTCAGGAACTATTTGCTTGTGCTGATATGTTCCATAGTTTTCTGTTGCCTCCCATGAATGCATCAGAGAAATTATCTGCTTCACTATACCCTTGACCAATTTAATCAAAGTCATCTTCAAGTATCTGATAACCTCTGGCTCTGAGTCACCACAACTGGAAACTTCAGAAGAAAAAAGTATTAAATAGTCATTAAGAGTACAGACATTGGTGTACATCTGTTTCAGAAAGAAGTGTTTTAGAACCTTCATGGAAAGAAAAGTAACAACATTACGACTCATAACAACTTACTTATGACTGTCAGTCTGTTAAAATTAAAGAAGTAGTAGAAAGCAAAATAACGTAGCACGTACAGCTTAATACAGTACTGGGAAAAAGTGATAATTTCATTTATTTCCTCCTTCCTCCTTATGTCTCCACACAGTATATTTCTCAAAATGTAACTTCATCGGATTGATGTTTTCCTTTTTATGTGGAGAACATTTACTATTTGTTAGACTTTAATGAGGCAAGCAGATATACCTATTTATCTTTACTTCCTTGTCTTTGACAGTACTAATAAAGTTGTATTTGTTAGCTAACCAAACTCTTTTATTAGAGAATGACAAAGGGAAAAGGATATTTTGGCAACAAAAATGCATAAAAATAAGTCATCAGCAGAGATATGGCTTGTTATCAGAGATCGCATGTTGAAAATGGAACATTTTAAATGCCGTTACTGACATTAGAACGAGTATCAATCTTCTCCACATTCTTAATATCACAGAGAATTGACTGTTTTCTCCAGAAAGAAGGGATATGCTGTAGCCCTAAAGCCATGCAGAATGTAGTTCCTCTACAGAATTCCGCTAGCAGTCGATGGTGTCAAGTGAGTACAGCTGCGGTACACCACAGCGGTCTTCCACCACAACAGCTAAACAGCAGCTTTTACTTTTGGAACATTTCCCTTTTAATGTTTTCACTTCTAGAAACCACAGTCACTCACCTGAATCTTGAAGTAAACCATCAATAAGCAAAAAGACACTGAAAGTGTCACTTTTGAAAGTGATGTTTAGAATGAATTAAAACAAACAAACAAAAAAGAGTAGAATAGGGAAGCTATTAAGGGAGACCTTTAACAGCTTAGGGGAGGGGACAGGCAACTGTAAAATATAGTACATATGTAAGAAGAACTGTCTCTCAGAACAATTGATACATTTTTAATCAGCTTCAAAAAACAAAAGCAATAGAGCAGCTGTTGTCAGGCAGGACACAGAGATATTTTTCAACAGGTTTTCCACTAAGGTCCTCTGCACCAACTTTTGCTTGTCCATATTAGTCTAAGTTTTATACTATTCTGTGTGGTCTTTCTTGAGCTTTCTAAAAAATATTTCCATATTTTTCTTCCTCTTTTGCCTTTAGACTTCTACTCTTTGTAATCACTTTTTTTTCTTCTGAGGAATATGTGAACATTTTTATCACCATTAATTTCTATTTTGTGATCTTCATATTCCTATAATCCCTCTTACTTTCTCCCACTTTCCTTCCTTTCTTTTCTTTTGAGCTTTCCCATACTTTGGCCATCATTTGGATGATCATTCATCCAAACGTCATCTCCGTCATCTCCCTTTTCAGGCTGAATCCCGCTTTTCTTTGGAGGGCAGCATCGGTCCCTATAATCATGAGGGGAGCTCCATCTCCATGGAAAATTAGGAGTCTGCCGGCCTGATGGCAGCAGAGTCTACAAGCCCCATCAGACTATTTCTCCCTCAATAGAAGTCCTTCCTTTTTTTCCCCCCACTCTCCTTCAATCACTTAGTAGTTTAAAATACTGGCAAAGGTCTGGAGCTATTAACTGCATAGAGACAAAGAACCTGAATGCATGGATGAGCTACAAACATTATACGCTGCAAACCTGCTGGTAGACAGACACCTAGGGAAATCAGACTCCTGGTCTACCACACTGTTCTATAACCTCTACTTTATTCTTCAAAATTTACACCATGCCTATAGTGTTTTGATTGCTCTAAACACTTCAATTATAACATAATTTTGAATTAGCATACCATCATTTCATCTAACTTATTAAAGTAAAAATAATATGAGGTACCTGTCTGAAAAGTAATGAGGTTTAACATCAGATTTAAAATATGTATTAATAAATTAAATACCTGTCATGTTACATAAGCAATCCCATAGATTCTCCTTTTCCATGTAGGTCTCAAAAGCAACGCCAAGTGATTTGGGTGATAAAGTACAGTAAGACAACACTGTGAAGACTGCTTCAATCAGAGTAGGCTCTTTGTTATTTGTTTTCTGTTCTAAGACAGAACTTTTTTCATCACAATTCAACATTTCATTTCCTTGAAAACAGACAAAACCATGGTTATTACAATTTCCAAGTAATTCAAGTCATAGTAATAGACAGTATTAATCAAAACAAACTGAAAATTGTATCTGAATATTATTTCAAAGAACAATAATACTTACAGATACTGAAATCTGATCTTGCTCTGCATAACGACATTTGACTGTCTTCCTGAATTATATGTAGCCATTTAGAAGCTCCAACCAAAGAACAGTGATGTGTTTAAATCTGCTTTTGAACCCATGCAATTCAACGGCTTTGATTTTTGCTAAGGTCAAAGACCTCAACTTCCTGTATATTTCTGCAATACACTTTTGATGCTGATGATAACAAATGACCAGAGATAGAACAAGTAGACCACTTTTTCATTTAAATTTCTAGTTTAAAAAACTGTAAGTTTCTAGAAGACTGAATTAGATACAACTCTGCTTGAAAAGTCATTTTTTTCCACCACTCTGGCTGCCCTTGTCTTCAGCAACCTGTGTAGGAGAAAACGTAGAACCTAAATTTCTAGACTGCTTGTTTCTAGTGGTTCATTTGGCTTTCAAAATCTATCATTGTCCAATGGCGTCTCCTTTATTGTAATGTCACAGAGAATGTTTCAGTCACAATTTATTAATATCCTTACTAACTACCTTCCCGTTACTAGTAACTTCAGACAAATGGAAAGAATTATAAAAGTATAAAAGAATTCTGTGGAGGGTTATACATGTATTTTATTACAACTAGCATATGAACAATACAAATATTTTGCTTTTAAGTAAAGACCTCTGGGAAACAAGCAGTATACCTACTACTAAAACACATTCTTAGGCTAAATACAATAACAAACGTATGCTTTAATCAGCTTTTTCCTCTTTCACCCTGAAGTAAAATTTGCCCTTATGGTAAGGATAAGGACGCTTCAAAGCTCAAGTTGAAACGTAACATCCTTGAGTTTTCTGACTGATAATACTGGCATGCTAATGTCAGATAGTTTAAAGGTTTACCTAGTTGATCAGTATAGCTGGTTAAATATTTTGAATTAAGAGTCTACAGAAAGATATGTAGATTTCTCTTCCGTTAACATTTTTTCTTTAACACTTATTAGCTTACCTGTCATAACATTAAATATTCATCTTAGCTTGAATTCCAATACAGACTTGTTAATCATCACATAAGAACAGCATTTATACGACAGGCATGATACTTATTGCCCACTGATGCTTCCCACTATATATTTCTCTTTTTTTCCACTCACTACCATCTGTATATCAAAAGCTAATCTGTGAAGCTAAAACTCTGATAGGTAACTCAAAGGATATGCTTCTTTTTCGTTTTAGTAGTATTTCTATAAATATGCATATGTATGTATCCTAGGTACCTGTTAAAGAAAATTTGCTGTTTGTTATTTCCATAGACCATAACATTCCATATGCAGAGAGGATGCCATACTAAATACATGTCATTGTTATTAATAATAAAAACAGCAATAATACATCTCTTTATGAGAAAATCAGGTATTTTGAAAATTTTGCAATTAACAGTTATGCTTTAACCGGTCATGATGAAACAATCTTCCTATGACAAAATAACGCATATAATCTCTTTGGATGGTGCTATATATTAAAAACATATCTTTAAAGAGGTAGCATTACAAGCGTAATTTATCCATATTTCTTTCCTACTGACAGAAATACCTGCCAGTAACTTGCTAACATTATCTCACTGATCCAGCTCTTACCTGCTACCAGGCTGATCATGAAATGAATCTCACCAAATTTAGAGAATTTTCTATTATTGACTCTAGACTCCTCCCTCCCTAGTGTATCCTTAAAACAGAAAGCAAGCTATAAACAGTTATGCTGTCTTTTTTGACCAAAAAATTCAAATTTCTACAGGCTGTTTCAGTTAGGAACAGAAACTGATGATGCAACATGTTATTTCTGATGCAGTTCTTTTATTTGCAAAGAACACAGAACTTCTGTTTTCTTGGTAATTTAAATAACAGTAACCAATGAGAACATAAAGAATGGAAAAAATATATATTTTTATTGCTTATAGGCCCAAACCTCTTTAAGCAGCTTCTTCGGGCTATGTTTTCAGTGCTTCTTCTGTCATTGGCTTTTTTTCTATTCTTTTTCTATTACTGTTCTGGTAGATCATTTTACTTGTCTCTCATAGAGACAAACCTCTCCAGTGCAATCATTCTCCAGTCAGCCTTGACAGCTAGAATCTATTGCAACTTTGAAAATGACTTCATTCTGGCAGAAAGTCTATTATTTTAGTTTTTGATTCCAAAGTGGAATTTAAGATCATATTACTTCTATCTTGAATGAAATGCAGATCTTAATCCCACTCATTTCAATTTAGTAAAATCCAAACTATAACCACCCTGTATTAGCTGCCACCAGTGAACCCACTGAATCCTAAACTTGTGACAAATAAAAAAACCCAACACAAGACAGAAGGAAATATGTAAAAAAAACTTTAGATCATTTGACCTTAATTATTAGCATATCAGCAAACTATTACTCTGTGTATACATTACTAATTCCAAACTATTTTACTCTCATTCAACCTCCTTTAGAATTTTTTTCTCCCTGAACTATTTCTTTTCAACCATCTGGGAAGAAGCTTCCATTAACGAATCCCTGGGTTAACTGCTTCTGTGAAATCTGTCTACCTGGGTCAAATAGAAAAATCATCACTATCATAATCCCTCCAGCTTTGGTTTTAATGGGTAATACACTGAAATCCTGTCATTCTGATAGCCAAAATGTGATGGGGCAATACTGAATTTAGTCCTATGGCCACAGTATGTTCTTTGTATTACTCCATTTATTGGGATCAATACCGAACAGGTCACCCTCTTAAAGTGCATTCAGTTCACAGCTCTCCTGTATGAAGAGGTTCCTAACAGAACTAACTAGGCCTCATAATTTATCAGAGACTATCTTCACATTTCATCAAGACAAAGTATGTGATTTTTTATCAGGGCTCAATTAAAGTCCAAACAGAAATTCCCATTTAATACTTGAAAAAAATCCATAAAAACTGTTTACTCTTTTCTTTAGCTCATCACTGGCAAGTCATTAACAGGAACAGGATATCTGACTAAGGTCCCTTTGCCATTGTTCTTCCAGCTAGAACTATGACATTCCAGTACATCCTTCTACCATTTTACCTCATTGGTTATGCAAGTACAGTATAAACAAAAGTTTTGATCAGACTAGTATTTTGAGGAGAACCCATTTGCCTGCAAAATCATTTCTCACGATTTTCAGCTATCATGATACAGTTTGATATCATGAAGAAGCTATGAAAACTTTCAGGTGTTCTAGAGTCTGCTCTCGCAAGCCTATATTTAGCCTCATCCTGGATGATCCAGAAACATCTGGAAGAGAGAACCATCTCTTCTTAAGCATGTAAACTCCTCTAAGAAATTAATTTTTTTCTCTTCAAATGAAGACAGTGCTGCAGATTAACAGCCCAAATTTTGTCTCAACAAAAAACGTGCATGATCACATTTCCCCAAAATTGTCTGCCTAAACCATGGGACTAGCACTTTTTCCAGCTGCTCGGCAGGTTGTGTCTCAGGATTCCTGAATCCAAGGAGTTATTACAAGGAAGCACAAAAATAATTTTTAAAGTTTTTAAATTGTTCTACGCATTTAACCAATGCTGGAAGTTCTTTATGGAGACAATAGTTTATCTAGAGAATATACATTTTCTTCTGTAATAACTCACCACTGTCACTGAAAGTTCTGCCTGAGTCATAAGCAAGGTCAGCTTGTAAAGTTATCACCTCGTACTCTTACACTAGGCAAGTTATAAAAAAATCAGTGCCATTCACCTTAAGATGCTATGGCAGGTAAAGAGCTGCTCACAAGAGGTAGAGAATTGAAGTGAACAAAAAGATTTCTCTCTTTCCACACAATATATTACAAAGTTGTTTCTCTTGGCAGAAACTGGTTTACAGAAGCACAGTCTTAAAAAACTCTTCACAGCTATTAGTGTCTAGGGAGTTGGTTGGTACCGCACTGCATGATTTTTCTTTCTTAAGGCAAATTCCCTCCCCCAAGTGATTATGCGTGCCCTTTTTGAAACACCTCGCATTTCTTTGGGTTCAGTTTCATACTGGCAGCCTTAAACTTATCACAGAACACTTGCAAATGTCACTATCATCTTGTTTCAAAGTTTTAGCAAGGACTAGGATATAATCGACATGTAACTATACAGGCTATTTGATAGCCTCTTCCATTAGTCTCTCAAATATGCATTGTGCAAGCCAAAAATATTAGGTTAAATTGTCAAAGACCTTGTCCAGCTGTGAAAGCAATTTATTTCCAGTCTACTTCCACATGACAGTATTCACTTTTAAAGGTGAACGTAGAAAATGAAGTTAAATATCTGCAGCAACTCGAGTCTCATGTATTCATTGTAACAAATAAGAATTCTTTAAAAGGGCTTCATTTTCTATTATCCACAATGAATCTGGTGCTGTCATCTCTTCTTCTTAAACAAAAGTATGCCTGAGGACTAAGGACTGATTGAAGGCCTTGGATGCACCTTGTTGATGATTTCTCAGTGACCTGCTTCTTATCTACTATTGGTAAATGGTGAGGTGGTTGATAGGTTCCCCTTGGTATTGATCCTGTGTTGCCCCAGTGTAGTTCAGTACAGCTATGACTTTTTGCTTTACTATGTGAAGAATAGTTCCTGGCTCCTGGAAAAAGACTCTCAAATGAGAAGCCATAGATTGTTCTGCTGGCACGTCGCACATTTAGAGCAAGTCTGGCAGAAATGCTCTTTCACTTTTCCCTTTTCTAAATCAGCATCTGCTGGATTCAATAATTCATATTATGCAAGAACAATTTTCTCTACTCCTCTATTATTTGTTGCTTGTCAGAATAATCCATTTCTGTTTCATATCCATGGGTGATAAAGTGATTCTGATAAAAATGTCCCCCAAGAAAACTGTAAAACTGTTTATTTTGTCAGAAAGTTTACACACACAGTATTAGCTACCTTCATTAATTTTCCCCACAGAGGCAAAACAAAGGTTGTAGATCCTTCACTTACGAAGGAATATGTCTTATAAGAAAATTAATAAATGTTGGACCTATAGAACACAAGTCTGGGCATTTATTGCACTGTAATTAACTATACCTATATTATGTAATTCAATATACCTAGGTTATCTAGACTTCTAGTTTAAGTTACAGAGGTCTGATATGCAAACCCAGTTTTCCAACTTTTCTTTAAAGGTGCGTTTTCCCCAGTTGCTTTACTCACTTGATATAAATAAGTGGTTCAGTTTTGGCTCATCTGTTTTATGACTTTTAATATGTTTGCTCTAATAATTTTATATTTAAGGAGAGTTTTACTTTTTCTGTACATTTCATACACCATATTGCACATAAATTGACAAAAGTCCAAATCTTGCCACCTCCCTGTGCAGACTTAGATAAAAACTTTGAGGTGAGAGGTATGTCCAAATATTGTCACTTAAGCTTTGGGTCTTTTCTGCTCCTCAACTGGAAAGACAGACTTCTTAAGTATTTGTGATGTTTTGTCCTTGTTAACTTCAATTTTATAATGTTATTTTTGTGTGTTCAATCTCTTCAAACTACCAGCGTTTACTTGAACTACTTCTCTTACTTTCTCTACTGTTAACAACTTACAACGTTCATAAAATAAACCTGTATCTCAAAAAATATAATGAATCGATTTACAATAACCTTTTGTTTAATAAATATATGCTATAGAACTAGCCTTACTACACTCATGGCAAGTTCATGATTAGTCTTCATCTTCACCATTACTATCTATTCCTTGGGTGCATTTCTATTAAAAATATTTCAAGTTCCACAGTATCCCTTAAAGGGTTTTTCTTTGGTCTTAATTTCAAATTCAGCTTAATTGGTACTAGATTAACCTTTAGATAATTTTTTTAGTTTTCCTTCACAATTATGAGCATAAAGAAACTGAAATTTTAATGATAGCTTATATTTACAGACATGGAGTTTTCATAGCTTCATCAAATATGATCAACTTCTCATAGCACTTAGTTCTAATAAAGCAAGTGCAGTCCTAAAAATGCTCTTTCTCCTGACACAGCTTTGTCAATCCCAACAGTACTCCCTACTATGATGGGAAAAATTCCTTGTTTCCAACATTCAACATGAGACCATGTGTCCTGCCGAACAAAGCAACCCAAAATTGTCATTTCTGTTACTAAGGTATGGCTTATTAGCGCAACCTTTCTTGTACTACTATATAAGAAAGCTCACATTATCAAAAATATTTTGGCTTGTCTAGCACAAGTAAAGCTGCGTATAAGCGACAGTGTTTGATAAATGTGTCGTATTGATCTATATACTTTTTTATATCATTTAAAGTTTTATTTTCTACAAAATGAATGATGTAAAGAATACAATTATTTTACCATTAGCTAATCAATCCTATCAAAATGAATCTGGAAGACAGTTCATTGGAAGTTTTAACTTTTTATATAAAGTGAAAGTTTATTCATATCAATATTGTAGCTACATTAACACCATCTCTGTAAACAGCGTAATTTCTAACTCAAAGTAGCATATATTTCCCTAAAGCTCAAGAGGTTGGTCAGTCAATAGATTAATACATTCTGTCACTTTATCCTTGTGATTATTTAAGCAGCTAGTAACATTCAATACTGGATAACACTAGGGTAAGAATATGATCCTGATCAAACATTTGTCAGTCTTTGTAAAAGATGACATGTATTAGAATAGGTAAGTGAATGAATGCAGTGCAGCTCTCAATAAGATGCATGCCAGAAATTGAAGCAATGTTGTACCCCTGACAAACATTAGACCACTTTACAGTGACAGAAATGAATTATTTAATATTATGTGGACCTAATAGTTTGTTTGATAAGTAGTGAGGATTCCTTTGCTGAAGAAAGATAGAAACTGAGACTCTCATTCAATATTGCTACAAAATTATGTCAAATAGGTGATTATACCATTCCAAGAATAAGCAGTATCAATACTCACTTGAACTCCTCAGTAAAATTCTCACTAGGAGACAATCATGATGTAGCAAAGCTTCCAAAAGCAAGTTCAAATTACAGTGTGGTTGGGATAACAGCAGTTTCAGCTGACCCTGGGCTGCCATTTCTCTGGCTGATGAAGTCCTTTCAAAATGTAAGATAAAGACAGAATAATGTACTTAATTTATCTATGAAATTAATATCCTTAAAGTGCAGATGTAATGCTAACTCCCTTAAATGTCAATTCCTCCCAGATTACTCTGAGAATGCTTTCATGCTTGCTTACTTTAAGGCAGCTCAGGGAAGGAATCACATTTAATCTTAACTAGCTAAAAGCAAATTAACATTTGGTAGTCTGCCAAAGTTATAATTGATACAAAGTAACCTCACTTACATCTTTCATAGAGCCATGTACAGTCTTGTTCTATGAGGTAAAAAAGGGGTTTTCTGTGCCTGAATAAATTTGAGGATACTATTTTTTAGTTCACTGTTACATTAATTGTTTAGTAAGAGCTCTGATATGTCCTAAATGAAGTATATGAAGCTGATAAATAACAAAATAGGGAGAATTCTCAAAGGGGCTACAAGAATCCACATGAGGTTGAAGAATTTTTACATGTCCTGAAAAATCTGCCTGAAATACTAGATTTGTTGGGACACTGCTTTGCCTGCAGTGAGACATGAGAAAGCATAGTACAAACCCATTAGTTTCTGAAGAAATAGTTCTGTTTGCTGTTTCCATGTTTCGCAAAAGTTCAGGTTTCCAAACATAAATATTCCAGGGCTTCCTCTGAGCTCAGCCAATTATTCAAGACCAGCAGTGGGATTCAAAGTGGAATAATTAAAATGATATAGGTTTTTATTTCAATTTTACCATCTTTTCTGAGCTCAGTAAGAAGCCGCTTTGGGACTGGAGTTCTTATCCCTGCCCCTCCTTCCTGCTCTTCTGCCCCTGAGGGAACAGAACATCTGGAAAGCTCCACATCCCACCCAGCTGCTCCTCTCATTGCGTTTTTGCCATCTCATATGTCCTCTACCCATTTCTTGGACAACTCCTGGGACCAAAAAGGGTGCAGAATCCCACAGGTTCCCTTTCTGCAGGGAACTACACATGGTAAGTCTGTTGCTGATGGCAAAGTGGAGACTGTCAGTTCCTCTGTCCCCCACAGTATCCCGCTCCTACCACATGCTCTTCTGCAAGATGTTTATCACTTTCATGCTTGTTAAGCAGAAGATCTGCAAGCTGTGTTGATGTTAATGTATGTTTCTTCCAGCCCACTAACACAGAGGGGAGTCAGTCTCATATCAAAGCAGTGAGAGAAAAAAAAAAAAGGAGTCATTAAAGAATGGTCTAAGAAAGTGTAGTCTTTTCCCCTGGGGCTGGAAACCTTTTCTTCATATTCAATTTTAACCGGCTAATCAAATGGACTTCTAAAATCAGGTTTTTAGACTCTGTCTGCAAGGATTCTGCAAAGAAAGGTGGAGAAATTTCCCCCTGTGATGGGGGATGATTTTTCCACTATAATTTTCCCAAAGGCCAAATGAGGACAGGTCATCTTTCTCTCCCATTATTAATACCTCCATGTCACACCTTTGAGAGGGAGCAGGGAAGGATGAAAGAAATGCCCTTGGTAAAATGGGTTGGCATTGCTCTTCCTTCTGTTACCACTCAGAATGTGGTAAGAATTCTGGCATTGCTTTGTGAATAAGATAAAGAACCAGAATATCCTTCGCAATTTGACTTTCATTCCGCAGGTATTACTTCTACAGAAAAAATACCGACTATTCCTCAGAATAGAGAGGAAATCTTCAGCTTTTTCTAAAGGTTCTTGTATTTGAATTTTCCAGCTGAGATGAAAAAATGGCACCATAGACAAATAACTCCTTAATCAATAAAAGAATCAATGACAAATGTTTTAGCTTGTCTTGAAAAGTAGACTTCTTTATACAAAAGTTTACCAATAGTAATTTCGAAAGGCAAATCTCTGACTAAAACTTAGTTATTTGTGTTTGGATATTTGAATACAATTTTTTCCAACTGCCAACTACTAATTTTATTATAGAAGGTTATAGCAGTGAAGCTGTAAATTAATGATGTGTTCTAAAGCTTGCTAAAATGATCCATAAAAACATACTTTCCCTCAAAATTAAATGTTTTCCTGATGTGAAATTTTGCAAATGAATTTTTTTTTATGGATGTTGTATTTATTATTTTATTTTTCTTGAGACTTCTTTAATAAGGAGTTTTCAAAATTGCCTTGTAGGTAGATTTTTTTCCTTGAAAGCCTAATTCTTCATTACCAACTGACATACACTTTTATATTTATATAAGATTTTGAGGGTTCTTAAATTAAATTTCTCTCGATGTTTAGCCATTATATTTATTCATTTGGCTACAAGTTTATGCAACAATAGTTGCCAATATTGAAAGTTTATGCACTGCATATGTAAACTTTATGCACATAAATTTTACATGCTTCAGTGTAAAAACTACATATGCACTGACGCATAAACTATACAGGCATAAACTTTATCTGCCAGTGCACACATAACACCTTCAGTATCAGTTAAAGCCTCCTTCATCAGGAGATGCATTTTCCTGTCAGACTAGAGAAGGATTTATATGCCTCTGCACATAAACGTTATGTGCCATTTATATGCAGCCACTGGAACAGAACTAAAATGGGTTCATGCAGTTGTTTTAACAGAAGGAAACTTCTCTGTTATGTTCCACATTTCTAGGACCGTTTGACTCTGCCAAGTGTGCCACAACCTGCCTCTGCTTGTACGTATGCAAAAAAACGAACAAATAAACAAACAAAACCAAAACTGCACAAAAGCTTTGCTGTTCCATTAAGGTTACTACCTAGATAGTATACCTAATACAAACCTACAACTCCTGGAAATGAAAATGTCACCTGACATACTCCTCTTGTTTAGTCCTTCACATATATATTTCCATTACCAAAAAAACCGGTATGCCATACATCCTGCAGGGCAACCTTGAGGCAACTTAAGAATATCAAACTTCTACAACTTCATTTCCCTGCAGCACCTTTACATTACGCTATTATGCCAAAATGTCACAGTTAAGATCATAATAGGTGTGTTAATAGAGGAGGAGTTTACACACCTTGGTATTTGGGATTGTAATAGTGAGGTGAGTGGAAAACTCACGCATATCTTAGTGTGATAATCCCTGATAATGTAGCAATGTCTCAACATGTATGAGCATGTATTAGATTCTAATAATATTTATGAAAAAACGTACATAGGTATACATTTAAGTCTTGATAGAATTTGCAGCCAAAATAACTTTTCCGTATTTAAAATCTATATTACAACCAAACTTCCAATATTAACGCTTTACATTCTTAATGGCTTTTTTTTTATAGTCTATATGTTCAAGACTGGTTATAAATCTATAAACTCTAACAGATGTTAAGACTGAATTAGTAGTTAGCAATTGAAGTTTAAATTCAAACCGGTAATAGTATCAAGATCAATAGATTTAGTGATCTGGCGGAGATCAGACTCAACATTTGTCTATGTAACATTTGTAAACTCATTTCACTAATTCAGTTAAATTATATGAGCCCATTTCACTGTGTTTATCTTCTTCCTTGAATTCCGCATGTTCTCATGTCTAATAAGGTCATTCATGGCCTTCAAAATATAAGAAAAGGGATAAGTTTGGTCAATTAGATTAATGAAGGATAATATTTGAAATGACTTTAGAAATAAGTGCCATTTTTAGAATATTTGAGTTGAAATGAAACTCGTCTGTCAGTGACCAGATGGGAACTTATCATGTTGTAATATACACCAGTTCTTGGCTCTTTAAGCCTCCTGCAAATTGAAATGTACAATGGTGTGACTCACTCAGAGGAAAAATAAAATATAGCAGACATTCCCTACAGCCATGAAGCTAGCACCAATAAATGCACTGAGAAGTTTTGCAACGTGCATATGGAGAGGCATATGTTCTCTCATCCTTGTAGCTCAGTACTAGTGAAAATAAGACTAGCCTCATAAAAAGTGACAAAAGGTGAAGTACATATAAATATCACGCATATAAACGTTCAGCTTTGTATAGCAGGAGAAAAAAGCAGAGCTCTAATTTTCAAAAGGTATGATTATAAACCTCAAATAAAGCAAAGAATGAATCAAAGCAACCACTAAACAAATCTAAACATAAATTATAACCAGTAATTGCTTAGCTTAATAAGCAAATCTTTATTTTACCTAGTATCCAAGATTAAAAAAAAAATAAATAAAATGATAAATTCAACATTTTATAACGCAAATAAAAGTTAATTCTCATTCATTTTGAACAATAGTGACAAAGATGTTTAAGCCAAATAGATAAAACAGACTGTAGCTTTATCCAGGCACTAGAAGTAAAGTCGCAAAACAGGTTACATATTAAATTTGTAACTAAAATCATTTCAGAGACTAGCAAAAGCGTATCTTGAAATATCAAGGAAAACCTACAAGGTTAAAAAGAGCAAAAACAAAATAGTTACAGTGAGTTAGTGTCTTCACAATCAATTTACAAATTAGGCACCCCCAGCTAGGACCTTTACAAAGGTATGTGCTTTCAATTTTGTTATGAACAGTGACTACAAATACGTTTTTATTAAGTATAAAAGTAAAAACATAAAATGATCTAGGAAGAATTAGGATCCTCTGATGGAATAGTTTTCTGCAATACTTAAAAATAACCTTTCTTCCTAATATTCTAAATGCAATACTTGAAAGAAGAAAAGCTTCCTTAACATAAAGATACAGTGTAAAACACTGATAAATTGTGACACCTCAGAATATGTCCCTCAAGTTACATCACTTCTTTAATACACATAGTCTTTCACTGATTTTTCTGACCAGCTAAAAGTTATGTTGTTAAAAGAGGATATTAAATATTTTACTAACATAGTTCACTCATCATCATCAGGCCAGTACACATGGCTTTATATAAATATATATGGAATGCATTGCACAGGCACACTAGCTGTATTACATCTGGGATGTGCTTTCTCATTTATTTCACTTTTTCCCATATAAATTTGATAATGAAGTCACCTCTTTGGTGGTCAGGAAGAGATGTATTTTCTCATCTTCCTTCCATCCAGTGAAAATAACTCAGTCCTAAATAGTATCGGAATAGCTTCTGCTATTTATTTGAGACAAAACTAACTGTCTAAACAGCATCCATAAAATCTTAATTCTACCTCAGAAAAGAATATTCAGTCAGTGACTGAAATGGTACCAGCATTTCCTTCACATACTTCTACACAGAGAGTACGTGTCAGGAAAGTCATCTTCCAAAACTCGTAATTCACAGCCTAATTTAAATTTTGAGTACTGACCTTGAACTGGGGAAATCAAAAAGTCCAAAAATTCTTGTCTTCTCTATTGTGAGTCCTCAGTGAAGCATAAATTTCCTAAGAAATAGCGTAGAACCCTTTCTAAGTGACTGTGCAGTCATTCCCCCTGTGATCTTCCCCTTTCTCCTGCCCTTTCTCTCTGCTCATGCCTAGCTTTATAAACTATCGATAAATTTAATTCAAATTTGATTGAGAGGTAGAGAACCCACAAACACGGGATCTTCTAAGCATGAGAAAAAAAAAATTTAAATTACTATTTCTAGCAGGGAAAAGGATGCTGTCTCGATTCAACAGTTATTCACTCTGTTTGGCGTTCCAGTTAACAGATCAGTGCAGACAAGACTGACTCGGTCACAGCATCTATTGCCTCTTGCTCAGGGGGTATCACAGGCGCTAGAGAAGGAGATAGTCGCATTGCTGACAAGAAACTGAGGTGAGGGCTGTGGAAAGGCAATAGAATGTTTTGTGTAGTAAGTGGTAAAATCATAAGGAATATATTATTGTGATGGGGATGACGATGGTAAGAGGTCACATCGGTCTTCAATTAGGTCACTCTCATACGATAAGGTATTGCTCTTAAACATACAAATACTTTTTCAGCAAACACAAAAACAGAACTCAAACTGTGCTTTTCATGAAAATGGAAAGTGAAAATCTCTCAGGAAATCACTTTTGGAGAGAAGGAGGAGGTGAAGGGGTTAGGAAAGGATCGACACTGGTGTGGGAGTGCTTCAGGTTCAAAATTAGAAAGGGAATGACAGCACAGCTGGTAGCATATGTCTCATATATAACTTGTCATTATATGCAGTGACACAGAAAGAGAAATTAAGCTTTTGCCTCTAATCATGCAGTAATCTGAAAAAATCAACTATGATCAAGATGCATATTTTCAAGGAGTTATTTATATATCAAACCTTTTTTTTTGAACGAGCAATCATAAACAGAAAGACTTACATTCTTTTTCTCCCCTTTAATTATAATTCTTTGAAAACTGCACCTGTGCTGAACTACGTTATTGTCAAGAGCTATGTATTCTTTAATTAAAACAAAAAAACCTTAAAGATAATTCAAATACCAAACATAATGAATATGCTGGCAAAAACACACAGTGCACTGCTTTCAACACGACCTTTCTTATAAATGCTTAAAGTCTAAAGATTAGGGAAATCTGCAATGAATTTCAAAAAATCCTTCTATATTGTTTTATCAGAATATTAATGAAACATTAATTCAGATACAGTATTTTCAAAATGTCATAACAGTATTTGATTGATATTGATTAGCTGGTCCTTCTCTTACAACAATCAACTTTAAATACTCACTTAAGTAAGGAAGAACAGGATGATGGTATGCAAGATAACCAGTGTAATGGATGACCAAAAATTTCTTTTGAAAAATCTTGAGAACCAGAACTGTTCAGAAATGCCCTGAAAAAAACAAATAATTCTGAAATAAATAGAAGACTGAAAATCCCTAAAGATCACCAGTATTAAATGTATGTGCATATACACATAATTGCAGTTATTGAGCAAATGTATTAAAAATGTAATTTCACATCTTACTTTCACTTTTTTGTAGCTTCGTTTCTAGCACTGTCAATGTACAGTTTAAGCACAGTTTTCTTCATCTATTTGTTCTTACACAGCATCTTCTCAAACTATGACCGACAATGCATTGAACAAGCAAGTAACTCTTCAAACACTTATTTCTATTGCCATTTTCTTTCTGCGTAATACTGGCATCACATTATCAATACTTTGGCCATAATCAAAACTAAAACACCTTTTGAAATGATAATGGTTTACCTCTTACAAAATGCATGCAAGTAGACTTTGGATTAAACTGGAAAAAAAAATCGAACCAGAAGCCTTGGACCTCCTTTACTGGCTTGTGAGGGACAGAATGCTAGTTGAAATGCCTGCAGTTTCAAATATAAGGACTGATGAAGAATCAGATAAGCTAATATTAAGCCACTCCTCCATTACCTCTCCTTTCTGAAGGACGTGAGAGACAAAGATCAGGTAGAGTCCAAACAAATAATAATAAAAAATAATTATTGCCTCAATTAATTAATTATATTTACATACCTAATTAATGATTATATAATTCAATAAATAGATCTAATCATTGTTTAACAATAAAAAATAATAAATGCATTAATGTTTGTTACAATGCTGTAGCAACCATTAGGATTTAGTAACATAATAAGAATGGATGCCCCCTAGCCTATCCTCTTTTCACTCATTTACACCGAGTTCAATTCCAGCAGAAGGGATATGTCCATCTTCAACTGAAGCCCTTACGTCCATCCTCAATTAACTATAATGAATTAGCATTGCTTTTGAAGATTATTTTTCAACTTATTTGGTTATGAAATTTTCATCTTAATAACTTCACTCCCCTGAAGTTTGTTTCTTTATGCATCACTGTTGTGACTTTCTAAGTTACGTAAAGAAGGTAAATACCTTTAAAAATCCCATTTTCATAGAACCCATTTACAGTATTTTTGCTTCCTTTCTGGAGTGACTCATTAAAACTCAATTGTGACAAAGTACTCTTTCTATTATAAGAGTAGAAGAAAAATTTAAAGTACCTCAGGAAGAGATATGAGAATTCTCCCAGGACAGCAGAATCTTTATGGGACATAAAAAAAGCCCCTTCCATGACACAGAAACAGTGACAGTAGACCGATACACTTAAAACAGGAGATAGAATGGAAACTAACTGAAACACAGCCTTCAAAATTTCCTCACCTAAAATGGGAAATCTCCTCTTTCTTTATAGGGTGAATTATCATGACAGCATTTATGTTTTGTCATTTAATTATTTAAAATTATCTTTTAACTATTTTTCACTATTACACATATATAATTTGCAAGTGCAGTTACATGTCTATAAGGCCAGTCTGCCTATAAACCTCAAAAGAAAGAAGAAAGAAAATAACACCTCCTTCAACAAGAAAGAGGAGCACATAAGCTTCAATTTGAACTTCTCAAAAGATAGGGTGATTCTGTTGGAAATTGATTCTATTAGTCAAGTAAAATCAGTAGGAAAATCTACTTTTTTTTTTTTTTTTTACTATTTACTTTAATATGATCTTGTGAACTTAAGAATAGAACTTAAGAATAGAAAATTAAAAATGAAGTTGAGATTATAATGTAGATAAGGAGTACTTAAACTGGAAAATAATTATTTTAAAGACAGTTGTTTCAACAGATTGAGAAGATTTAAGAAGAAATTATTTTGTTTCTCATCCTCTGAAATATTTTTCTTAATATAGCAAAGGAGGGAGTCAACTTCCTGCAAGAATGCACACTAGTACAAAAGCAGAATTATTTACATTTATGAAATTATACCTCCTAAATGGAAAGGATGATAGACAGGTTTGGGTAGTAATCTAATAACAAAAGACCACATCTTGTCTAATAGTGTTTTAGAGACTTCTGGGCTGGAATGGTTTCTTAGCGGTCTCTTAATGACAAGCACAAGGCAGACTTTTGGGCTCAGAACAAGATCTCTATGCAAATTTTGAAACTGACATGTAGATAATGTGATAGTTTTCAAGCTTGTTTAAATATAAGAACAACTGAAAATATTATAAAAAAATGAAGTGTCTAATGATAATACAAAATCCTTGCTGTCAGCTGTTCTCAGTGTCCTCTGCTGGCTATTGAATTCTTGCCAGGAAATAAAGAAAACCCAACTCTGTGCCAGACAGTTTAATTCAACTACTCTTCTGACAGAAGTATAATAATAGCTAGTAGAAAATTTGTTTTGACTACAGGATATGTTAAAGCAGCTGCCTATAGTCTCAAAGCAGAGGAGAGCATCTGTGAAAGCATTTAATACCACAGCAAGATTCCAAGTTACAGTAGTTTTATTCTTCTGTAGAGTATGACAAGGTGAGAATTGATCTTGTAAGCCTCAGTGCAGGTGTGAAATAATGAGATGCCAACAAGATGCATCCTAATGGTATCTCCTTGTAGACTTTGGAGAATTTAGCTCTATGTAGGGAAGTACTATGACTAATAAGCAACTTCATGAGATATAACTCTCACACATCCAAATTAAAAGTAGCATTTTGAATTGTTAAAATTCAATGACAGCTACTTTTACCCAAAGTGGACAACCAATAGAACAGAAAACTGGAGTCTCTAAATTCTTCTCTTATTATTTGTCATTGACCTAATCTGCTGGTTTTGAGAAAGTAAGATACTCCACTTCATAATACATAATCATATAAAGTAAGGCAGCTACATCTTTTTATAAGCTTCACTAACAGAAAGATTGGCATCTCTTACTCAGCACAAAAGACTAAAGCATATAGACAAAGCATAAACAGAATAAACCTACTCCAACTCGAACAACCCTCAACATGCTGCAGAAGAGGGTCTCTGCTATAAAGTCTTAAACGAGACTGTTGTAATGCATATTGCCAGCCTGCTTGTACTTATTAACTTCATTCTGCAAGAAAAGTAATGAATAAGCAGTGTTCAATTCACCTACAAAAACCATAAGCAGTTTTGGAGCCGTTAGACCCACTGCCCAAACCCCAGATACATGAACCGACTAACTGACAACAAGCTAGGTAGTGAATAAGACTGTACGATGACGAGAAACCCCGAGGAAGGAAAGCCACCTTTTTTCAGAGATTTGGGCCAGCAGCAAGAACATAGTGACATCTGGTAGTTTTGGGGAACACACTCTAGAGACCAATGCTGTTCAACAGCTTTGGGCAAACGCAGACTGACAGAATGCACACTTAGCGTATTTGCGTATGACACTAAACTTGGGTGGGGGGGGGGGAACTAGTTAACACAGCACGTAGTAGCACTTCAAACAAAAGATGATTGAGCCAATAAAAAACTCATGGGGTTCAGTGAAGCAAAACACAAAATTTTACTCTAGCATCAGAATAGTAATAGCCTAGCCTGGGAACTGACTGTCTGAGTACCAGCCCTGCAGAAAAGAACCTGAGTCTTATGGTGGACACCATGCTGAATATGAGTCAACAGTGTATTCTCATTATAAATAATACAAACCACATACTGGGATGCATTAGGAGTGGTATTACAAGCAAACTAAAGATAATTCTCTTCAGCTACTTTGCACCGGTTAAGTCTCACCCAGAATATTTTGTGCAGGTATTTGGCCTCCAGCTCTAGAGATATCAAGAAACTGGAAAGGGTTCAGCAAAAAAAACAGCATGGCTTGACCCTAGACCACATGATCTGTGACAACAGGTTGAAGGAGCCTAGAGAGTCATCTAATGGCAGCCTACAGTTACTTAAAGGGTAATTACAAAAACAAGAGAGCCAAACTTTTCTCAGTGGTGGCAAGTGGCAACAGCAAGATAGCAAGAGGCAACAGCCACAGATAGCAGCTACAAAGGTTCAAACTGGATATGGGGAAAAACTTTTCACTAAGGTAGTGCAGCAGTGGAACAGGTTGCCTGGAGAGGTTATAAAATATCATTTCCTAGAGGTTTGCAAAAGTCAGCTACACAAAGTCATGGCTGACGTAATCTACTATTGGTGACTGTCCTGCTCTGAGCAGGAGGTTGGACAAGATGACATCCAGTAGCTCTTTCCAGCTAAAATTTCTGTTGTGCTAAAGTTACGTCAGGAAGGCCAAAGAAGGGTGGAGGAAAATGAAGCCTGAAAACCAGTGAGGACCAAAAATCTGTAACCAAGATTCAAAGGTGAATTTAAGAGCAGATCCAAGCAGAATTGTCATAAGAAACGAAACTAAGTGATAATAGAATGGACAAGGTTTGGGAGGAGAAAGTTTATCCTGAATCAGTTTATTTTAAGGTAACTATATTATTACTTTTTCGGAACGCCTACTATTTTATTGCATTTGAGCAATATAATAAAGAATCTTAAATAACTTTAATTCCATAGAAGTAATAGTTAATCCAGTAACTCTAGTAAGTTGGAAATGAGCCAATCCTATTATTAGAAAACTCCTGGAAAACAATGTTCTGTCATTACTGCTTTTATGATTACACAAAACTTTCTTGAACAGTCTAAGGATTAATTTAAATCTAGCCCCTGCAGGGAAATATTTTAGTACTAAAAGACAGTGCAATAAATTTAATAGAAAAATCATTACTTCACTTACAGTTAATTTTACCAAAGTTTTTGAAGACATAGAGCTGATTTAATAGATGAAAATTTTGATTATACAGCTGTGATTAAAGAGAACTTAAAATCATGCATAACCTCTGATTCGGTTATTGATAGATTAGATTCTTCACGTGATGAACTATGCGCATCTCAGTAACCAAGGAACCTACGAGTGTTACCAGTTGGATGTAGTCATTCAAGAAACTACAAACGCTTCTTTTCTTTGTAATCTGGACTATAATAAGCAGGTTAGGTTATCTGACAAATATTACTGTAACAAAATATAGAATATAGAAGAATTGTTTTGATCTGCAGTCTCACGAGGCTTTGAAAACAAGTGCTGAACACACAGTTCATAAAAAGTCTCTCTTTTAACTTACACAAAACCATGCATAATCTCTAACAATGCTTTTCAGTATTATTTCTGTAAATATATGACAAAATATGATATTTCTTATTTTCACCTTCTCCAAAATCTGGCAGCTTTGTTTGTGATTTGCAAAGGACTTTGTAATAAATCACATGAGCTGCTGCATCCTGTGCATGTTAAATTTTTGATTTCTAGAAAACTAAATGACTATACTGAAATGTATATGCCTAAATATGAAATCTATATGATCAAACAGCTAATCTGTAACATTTTATATAATTTAAAAAATATATTGTCTCACTCTTCATTGGGACTTTGTGCTGGAACTCAGTGAATTTTCAAGTTAGTACACGTTTTTTTAACACCCTAAGTATAGGGAAATCTGTAAACAACATGGATTAGTGGAGAAGGCAGAATGGCTAAGAGGAATAGATCATGCTACATATGAATTTTAGGCCACCATTCGATGGGTTTTCATAACTGAAAGGTGATACGATGAAACTGAATAGCAGAAGCAGTTACAGATACTACAGTATGGTGGTACCACATTGCTGCCTCCATTATTTTTGCCATGGCAGGACTACCTAATGTGTTCATGAATCACCTCCTTAATCGCTATGGTTTTCAACCTTGTTTTGAGCTTGAGTTGCACAAGACCACTCATCCAGTTACAATCCACTTTTAAATTTTCTTCAGAGCCCTTTAACTTTAAAATTAACCTGCATATGATAAAAATATTTTGGTTAAAGAAGCTTAAATACAGGAGTTCTCCAACCTTCTCTTTGTACTACTAGTGCTACTTAAAATATTCTTATTTAGAATAATCAAATAAAGGGCAGGCTAACAAGATTTAGCTTTTTGATTTTTTTTTAATTTGTGATCTTGCTTTGTATTGTCTCTTACAGAAAAAATTATAGCTGAGTTTTTAGCACCGAAGACAATAGTAAGACTCAGACCTAACTTCAGTGCAAGTAACATTCCTTTTTTGCTTGCACTTTGACTTCTGAAGACATACTTTTCACTTTAAATATATATTTAAGATACACTGAGGGATGTCAATCTCCTACTGAGGGATATCAATCTCCTATTGGTCATGTCACCAGATAATCACTTGAGTAAATCATTTTAAAATGCCAGTACTTCTAAAATTATTATGGGATGACAGCAGAATTTCTAAACTACCTTGAAGCTGCAGGTAGATAAACCTGGGGTAGTAAAAACATGAAAAAAAAATTTAATGGTATGAGTGATTGGGTCCTGGAAAACTTTACCAAGATTTTGGTACCATAGTATGTAAACATTTTCTCCATCAGATAAGAACATGTACCTAATAAAATGTGTTCTAATTCAATAGCAAGTTGAAAATCTAGGACAGTAATTATTAATGGAATTCTACTGCTTTTGTTACTTAGGAAATCCCCAGTGATGAGTTCAAGGTCCAAATCAAGAAATACTCAAAGGTTATCAAAATGCATCCACACCATGCACTGCATTTGTATTTCATTTCTATCCTGTAGATCTACCCATGTAAGCTCAAAACCAATTTTATCCCAGATTGAATGTTCAGTTCATACTCAACTCATACAAATTCTTCAGTGGTGAAGTTAAAATAGCTAGCACGGAGAGCAGAGTGTTGCAGTGGCTATGTATTTTATAGATCTTGAGATCTCTGTCTTCATGTGGATTCAGAAACTCCTCTATTGAACTGCAAACTGACCAGAGCATATTTTCAGTGGACATCAAAATTGCTGCAATATCAATTCTGCAGGAAAGAAAAAGTGAAAATAATATTACTTATGACATGAGGATTGTGATAAATTTTGGTTAAACAGAGCTTTCGTCTGACAACATAAAATAACTAGTTCATAGCACGGACTTAGAATTTCATATTCCATGAGTGGGTACTGCATGAATTCTGAACCCCCTATATAGGGAAAACACAGCTCCTCCACAGTGCTGAAACTTGTCAACAAAAGACTTGTTAAATGTGATAATTCCTCTTCAAAAGGACAATGCCACCAGACAGTAACAATTTACCTTCCAAATTACAACTAAACCAAATAAAATTTAGTTTTCTTTATGATAAAATATATAATTAGAGCGCACATACTGTTTTCAGGTCCTACTGCAAGAAAAAAAAATAATGACAAGTGTGGTGACCCAACTGGCCAGTATTGTGCTTAGTGAACATATATGCTATGATTTATTTACCTGTAATTGTTATGATTTTGGTTTGACACCTAATTGAGAGGGGATAAAGGCGGGAGTTCTCAATCACCAACTTAGGTTTAAAAATGAGTGGTGGGACAGTACCACGTGGGCCCCAGTGGCGCCAGCACTGGGATTCTAGAAAGTTCTCCTCCCAAGCACTCCAGCTTGAGTCTCTGAGATCCACTATCCTCTATGGAGAGGTTGAGGAGTCTTCTTCTCTGGAGATATTCAAAACCCAGCTGGATGCAATTCTGTGCAATGTGCTCTAGATGACCCTGCCTGAGCAGGAGGGTTGGACTGGATGACCTCCAGAGGTCCCTTCCAACCTTGGCCATTCTGTGATTCTGTAATCAGACAGGGCACTTTTCAGCGCTCATGAAGCAACGCTGTCACTAAGCCAGCTGAAGAGCGCCACTGCACTGCCAAGATAAGCTGCGGGACAGCCGCCACCGGCAGCGCAGGAGCAAGACCATCGGCACCACCCTTGAGCCCCGGGAAGCAGAATGCTGTTTCCAGCGCATGCTCCACAGAAGCCACCAGAAAACCGGTGGTAAGATTTGGTCGTGGCCGCTTGTCCTTATTGACAGGCCTTTACTCACCCTTAAGGGTTTACCAGTTGGTGCCCTCTGGCGGTTCCATTTCACTGGCGCCAGACACAAGCTTTGCTAGCTTGACCTGTCCCTGAGAGGCGCGCTGTGGGCGGCTGGGTCCGGCAGCTCTTCTTCCCTCCCTCAGGGGGGTGTGATATAGCCAGCCTCAAGGCGCTGACCTCCGCCTTGTGAGGGTAGGCAGTGACTCGCCCCTCCCGTTTCCCTCCTCCCTTTCAAACCACGTGGGGTGCCTCCCCTTCTGGGTAGGGGGTAATAAGGTTTACTGGAATTGGTTGCATATGCACTGTAACATCAGGGTACCATAATGACTTGCTGTATATCTCTGTGACTACTTTGTTATTGTGGAATATTGTCTCCTTTTCTTACAGGATAAAATAGTGTATTGTATATAATAGGATAAGAAATTGTATTGTTGTTACATAGGATAACAACATATAATAGTATTTGCATTGTTATTACGTTGTTTACTTGTTATTAAAACATTTAAACTTAACAGGGCATGTGAATTCCTTTCTAGTTAACTACGATCTCACCTGCCACCTATGAACTGCCAGCTGTAGGACCCTTCAAGGGAGCAAATATATATACAGGTTCTATACCTGGTATACAGGTGACTATATAGGTACTAATGACTTTTACGTTGTGCTGTCATCGCACCTGTGAGGGGACCTCCTCTCCTGGCATGCAACAAGTGAACTAATTCTTCAGTTTGCAAAATTTTGCAGGTATTCAAATAACTGCTAAGGAAGATCACATGATCATATGATATGATTACTGACTCAGTAGTCAGATAACCTCTTGATATTGGCTCATGGGCCATTGGCCTGAACAATATCAAAGAAACAAACTACATTAACAACAAAATCTCGCAAGAGTATGCTGACATACAATAGGTGGGGAACAGGAGAATAACACAAAATACCTAGTTTTCCAGAGATGCAACAGGTGTGAAGAAGAACTTAAAAAAGCACCTAAGTGCCTAGCTTTCTAAGTGTGCCTATATCACCATCTGCATTTTTAAGAAGCTTATTTTGGAAAATCTAGGCAAATGCACATAGAGAGACTTCTAATCTGATATTATACATCTCTAATACTTCAAGAACCATTGGAAGAAAAGAAATCCTTAAAGTACAGTATTACAAAAAATGTAACCCTTCTGTGATGAAAATATTGAATAATAATCAAAATTGTTTTTCATTCTTTGAGGTGTGCATGACTAGATCAATCAGTTCACTTAGTAACAACCTCAAGAATTACCATATCAAATAAAACAACTTATCTACAAAAAGAAAACTATTTTTTTCTTTTTCAGTATTTTGAAGCAGATTCATACAGAACTGACCAATACTACATTTAAGAAATAGTGTATCAGGGTATACTCTTCCTATTTCAGGGGATTTTTCAGAAAATTTCTATGAAAGAATCTTTCACATCAGTGAAAGGTAACTATACCCTTCTGAAATCAGATAGGATTTAGTCTATGAACATGTAGCAACACTACTCAGGAAACAATCTTATTTGTACCTAAAGATATAGAAGGACCTAAACACTAAGAATTAGTGCAGGATTAAGCACAGAAACAGGTACTTTGACACCAAGAAGAAAACTTTGGGTTTTATTCTCACCTATTTCAAGACTGTGAACTTGGACAAATTACTTAACCCCTCTATGGCACGGTTTTCCTCTCCATAATATAAAACTCATGAAGGCAGTACATAACTCCTAGCTCATTAATCACATAGTACATCTCTTCTGAATATATTCAACCTCTTATAGATGACAGGCTCTCAAGTGTCTCACTCCCATGGCACCACGGACTATGTCACTTTCAAAATCTAAGAGGAGGATCATATTCATATACTAAAGAAATATACTAAATGAACAGGACAAGAAATGCACCAATTTCTTCAGTCAAGCAAGACACTGCCTAGAAAGAGAAAGGATAGAGGATAAGCTTTCACATGGAGACACCTGCTTTAGTGTTTCTTAAGGAGAGCTCCTACTCTGGCAAAACATAAGAACCCCAACACGGAGATGACTCAACTTCAGATTTCCTAAAACAACAGGGAAAAGAAGAACCTCTTCCTGCTCCCTCCTTCTGAGCCACTGGCTTCATTTGGGCAAAGCTTGTATGTGACTTAGGAGCTCCTTAACTTGAAAAGGCGTTTTTCCTACGAAAATCCAAATTCTACTGGAATAAATGGAATTTTCTTCATGAATCAATGGTGTGATTTCCAATCCCTATGCTGTCAATTCTGGACAATTTCACAAAGGAGTTCTTTGATCACTCTCTGGCTTAGTATATGGCCACCAGATATACTTAAATATACCAAGGAGATTGAATTAAAATTATCCTCAAAATATATAAATGCTGTGTTCATGAACATTTAAATTTGAACTAAAGCAGTGTATAACAAAAAATTGAGATCACTCATTTTATCCATAAAAAGTACGCATGAAATATGCAACCATTACCTGATCTGTGGAGTTCTCTTGTAACTGGGACAGGCCTGAGAATATCTGGAGGACAGCACAGCCAAACATTTCTCCAGTACTTCTGTAAGAATCTCCTGGGCTAACTTGGGAGGTAGAATAGTCCATAGATCATGATGAAGAGCACAGCAGAAGTAATGCCACATCTGGACAGAGAATGAACATCTTTCCCCCTAGCAAAACCACCACACATTAAATAGAAATACACCTTCCAAAACGTCATTTTAGTTCCAGTGAGTCTAATTCATTCAATCTGAAAGGAAATAGCTGAAAAATTTCAGGCACATCATGACCAAAAAATGGTCCTTGACAAGATGTGAAACATTTTTATTAACAAAGAAACACATGTTCCATTTCAGTTACAAAACTAGTGTTCTGCCACAAAACCAAACCGCAGATATTTGACCTCTTATATCCTTAATTAACCTAGTCTAAAAACTATACTGTTTTAGGTCTAGTTTAAAAGCACATACAGTATTTTTAGTCACTAGATAGCCAGATGAATTTAATATATTGGCCTCTTCATCCTCAATAAAAAATAATTATTTAAATTACTTAAACACGTATATTTCCCCAAATTCATAACTGTTACACATAGCAATGATTATGTATGATGGGGATGCAATAACAGCAGAAAAAACAACCACCGAACAGTTAAGCTAATAATATAAATCCAGAATTTTTCAGTAAGACGGTTTTTCATCTGATAATGGCATTTCACTGAAACAAAACATTTTCTGGGAAGGAATCAATACCGGTATTACTATTTAATTAGCTATACAGAGTAGAACCACCTCAAGACACAAATGCAAAACAGTCAAAATCACAGTGGTCAATATACTAATATATCTAAGAAGTACATGCTTTAAGTCATGTTTAAATATTTCAGCTAAAACCTGTTCAGGAAATAATACTAGGGTGAAACTGAATCACAACAAAGACTTCACCTCCCACATTCCAATTGTGCTGAGAAATATTTAAACAATTTATTGATATTTTAGCATTACCCAATATATAAAACAATCCTATGATTTTTAAAACACTGAATGAGTTTGACAGACATTCTTCTGTAAACAAAATAACCTGACTTCCTTTTAACCACATCACATTAGCAGGTTATTGGAAGCTGTCATTATTCAGTATTTCTCTGCCACAATACTTGAAGCGTATTTTGTATTACAATTGGTACGTTATGACAAAGTACTGTAGTACCTGACCTGCAACCACTGCGCTAGTCATTAAATCTATGACTGATGTATGCATTTGCATTTTTAACACTCTCATTTTGGGAAAAAAAAGAAAAGCAAATAATCAAGAAATACTTTTTTTTCAAGTTTCAGTAATATAGAAGAGGAAAATGTAATAAAGACAAGTTTCACAGGAAAATCATATGCCTAATTATCTTTGTTCATACAACTAAGAACATCTTACAACTGCTTTAAACATATTCTAACTTCTTAACAGGACACAATAAATCACTCCTGACATTTAGCACAATTAAACACTTGACAAGTGTTTCCACATAGATAAAATAGAATAGTTTCATACTGACCAAAAATGGATCAGGCTATACAAAAAACAGATTAAAATAAATCCCCATTTTTCTAATCTTAATAAACAAAATATTATTGCAGTGTATACTGAAACATTATCATAACAACGTAGAAGTTGCCTCTGTGAGTCTCTGTACATAACTCAAAAGATTATACATTTCTACAACTGTAGGTTTCTTTGATATATTAGCACTAGAGTTGAGATACACTCTGGTAGATCTTTACCCCGAAAACCCCCCAAACCCTAGCCTAGAGATACTTTTATTAACAATTCCCTTTGTCTGCAAAAATGTATCTGCTCTTGCAGAATAAATGTATCAGGTATAAAATAATTAGTTTGCATTCCTTAATGGAAACTAATTCATTTTGGTCATATCTTTAACTGACAACAAATAAATTTAAAAATTTGCAAAAACATGTAAACTTAACAACCAGAAATATATTTCTAAATGAAATTTCTAATGTAGAATATTTATTTTTTTAGGCAATAGAATGTTGGCAGGTTTTACTTATTAACCATGTAGCTATAAATACAAATTATTTCATTTTATCACTTTATTTAATTTTAAACAGTAAATTGAATCATACCCCTTTTCTAACACTGTTGCCACTGTTGCAGAAGCAACAGAGTTTCCATGAAGATTTATATAGGATTCGTTCCCCTTTTCTGACCTGTTTTTCTATTTGTTGCCATTTCTAGACAATTCTACTGGTAAACATCTGCTATTTTTGCAGGCTTCATACAATACAAACAGATGTGAGCTTTTATTTAGCTTATATATCAGGAAACAAGCAGCTGGGCTTTATTACATAAGCCACTCACTATTATCTTTGAACAGACAATTCTTTATTCTTTGACTATTAGAAAACATAAGTTCCTAAAACTACAGCAGATGTCTGCTACACTAAAAGCTTGATTTGAAAATGTAACCTAGAGAGCTGGCCCAGTGGCACAGTGGGTGTTCAGTGCGCTCTATCAGCGAGACACTGAACCCTGAGAGTTTCACTCCCTGGCAACTCAGAGTCCAAGTGCTTTATGGAAATTGTGCTCTTAAGAGTTCAGTTTGGATCTCACTTACATTGCCACAAAAATCACTATTTATATCTTGCAATATCACTACTTAACTTTTGCTAATAAATATCAAAAACTCAGGGTGACCTCACTGTGATTAGAATGCTGTATTTAGTCTCTAACTGAAATGAGTCCTCTGTCTTTTCCATTTTCCCATGATTGGATTAGGTGCATATCAGAGGGAGGATATGAAAGCAGGCAATGAAATCAGTTATAGAAGTGCAAAAATAAATTAAAATATATTAGTTCAACAATACAGAAAAGAAATAATGCTTTATTTTATAGATTGTAATAACCATTCACTACCAATCTTGTTCACCTCAATGTTACCACTGTGCAAATAAATAAATAACTGCATATGGAAACTGCAGTACTATGTAATCAAACACAGACAGTATCCTCCTCCTTTGCCTTTGTCTTTCTTTTAGTGGATTTCTTTTATTAAGTATAGCTTAGGTCCTACCATGTAAGCCACGTAGTTTTTTTGGTGGAAAATGGAAAGGAAACCAATCACATATTCTTTCTATTATCATTTGAATGCCCTATATTATTGGGGGAAAAGGAAGGCAGTAACTCCATATGATCCCTAAAATGCAGGCTTGCCATTCAGTTTATTATTAAGCACACTATACAACAATGGAGATAGAAAAGTTTCCTCGTCTTCCCTTCTCCCCTACTGATGCACACAAAATCAAAGGTAAGACACAAGTTTGCTCCAGTTTATAGGAGAATAAGGGAATATATTTATTCTCTTTATGAAATTGCACTCAGAATTCACAAATGAAATCTTTTATAGTGGCACGCAATACTTAAAACTGGGGGATAGAGGAGAAAGGGAAGTGAGGTCTTGAGTCAAGTTAGATTCAAGAGCTAGGCTACTCGAGACATAAGCAGAAGCAGAGAGCCAAGAGCAGCTTCCACTTAGAAAAGCAAGATCATGATACTGTTCAAGGCAGTGGATCCCACAGACAATGCAGCAAGGGCTGTAAGCCACTGACTCTCATAGAGTCAAGAGTGTGTCCCCATTGAGAAACTAGTTCAAAAGCAGTGCCTCTTATGAGATCTTGCTCTTCAGCAAGGGCTGTAAGCCACTGACTCTCATAGAGGCAAGAGTGCGTCCCCATTGAGAGACTAGTTCATAAGCAGTGCCTCTTACCAGATCTTCCTCCGGATGATTGGCAAGGGGTCCTGGCTCCTGGCTCTAAGCTACTGTTGTGTTCCGAACTCAGCAGGATCTGCATGACCTGAATATTCACAGGGACAAAGCTTCCAAGTTCCTGCTGAGTATCAAATTTGGAAGGAACCACCTCTCACAGCTAGAGGTTCAGCGGTATGCTGCTTCTGTAACAAGCAATAGTTCTTAAGCCAACCTCTTCCACCCAGAATGCCTACAAAAGCTCAGTGGAAGTAATAGCTGCTCAGCATCACACCTCCTGAAGGCATTCTCAGCAGATTATGGCCTATCTTTCACAAAAAAAAAAGCACTGTGATGATGAAAAATTACATACTTCCTACCTCAAGGATTGCAGGTACACAGAGCTGAAATACAAACTTTCTTCAACCCTTCCTACACGCATCAGTTCTGATCAGTAATGACAGAATTATTTAGTTAATCCACATTCTTTTTTGTGGAGGCAACTGTTTGTGACCATCATGTCTCCTCCATGGTGCATAATGTCCACCATATAGTTACTGAAATGGGGTCACCAATAAATGGGACACAGATCCAGATGGGCCACAGGCACTGTTGACCAAATCTAAATCAGTTGCCAAAAGCTACTATTATTTTTTTTAACCTTCTTATCAGTCCAAGACATCTAGGCTCACATTAACATAAAAGTAAAATGCTAACTTTCTTGTCTTTAAGGGAGAGGCATTGTGATGGTATTACTCATATCAGGTCTGTTTAATCAACTGCCCAATACCGATTTTTGTCACTGACTCACCAGCTCTTCCTATTACAGTTCTAGAATGCATACATTGCAAAGAGTGTTCTCACATGCAAGAAGTCTAGAAAACGCTTAAGGAAAAAAAATCCTAATTCTCTCACACAGCAACTGTAATAAGAAAGGGCAGGACTTTGTTTCCAGGAGATCTCAGTTATTATTGTTAAAAAATATATAATATTTTTACTTCACCCTGAAATTATGCACAAATAATTTCAAGTAGTATATATCTAGTCTAACCATATATTTAACTAGTATATGTCTGTCAGTTTATTTAACTGAGTAGATGTTAGGAAAGAGGAAAAAAATCAATATATTAGAATAATATATTCATTTCATCCTTAGAGTCTTTCCATGGAATCACTAAAGTTGCAGTTTAAGAGCAAACCTGTGACTCTAAAATGCAGGTGAAATAGCACAAGTCATTTCAGAAATATATAGTAGAATGCTATAGATACCACATTGATCATCTTTTTTTGTTACATCCTTTATTCACAAAAAGTACAAAGGGAATCAAGGGAAAAAAAAATCAAAGAAATATTTAATCCAATTAAAAGTTCCTGTGAGAAATTAGCAATCTTGCATTTTCATATGTTGTACCATCTAGGAGAAGAGCTAAAATGAAAGTGTCTTTTTTTTTTTTTGATTGTGTATAAACATCTTGACCCTGATGATCCTGCCTTCTTTATAAAAAATTATATATTTTCAAACTAAGGACTCAATATTTCATTAAACAAATGACAGAAGAACACTATTTTAATGATTTATCTGAAGTCTTTTAATTTAAGACTATGTTCTTCTACCTCATTTCTTAAAAAGATTTTGCCTACCATAATAGATATTTAAAAATATCAAATCTCACCAATCTTTATATAAAAACAATGCTGATCTTATGTTTCTAATTAGACAGAGTTGGAAACCAGTAAAACACATTTTGTAAAAGAGGCATAGTAAACTTAACCTCACACCTCATAAAAAGCTTTGCAGTCATCCCAGTGGTGGCTCTCGGCATCCTGTAAAATGCTTGTAGCACAAACTCTGACGCAGTAGTTCGTAACTTGAAACTGCAGAATGTTGATGAATTCCTGATATTGTTGGACAGGCCCTAGGAACAGGGGTCTGTTCAGAGAGAATGATCAAAGAGGCAAAGATTGAAAAGTTGTGCAGTAGGAGGTAACAATCCCCAGTACTGCAAATGGTTTTGATTATTAGGTATCAATCATTCATTTCCTCTTAGGCCTGGAGTCTGAACCCCACACTCACTTTTGAAAAATCCAGTCTTTGTTCCACAAGTTCTTTAAGAATATATAGCTGATCTTCTATAAACTTTCATTTAATCAAGTCATTGAGGAGTAAATTATCTTACTTTTGAGGTAAGAGTGCCTTTTGTCATTCAGTTGTCATTATTTCTAGGACATTCTGTGTTGAAACATAGCTGCATCAGCAGCAAGTGTGAAAAAAAAAAAACACAGAGTCCAGAGATTAGTTTTGGTAGGTATGCATTATGGGCAAACTCTTTCATAAGAGACATAAGAGTTATTGAGCAATATTCTGATTCAGACTCCCCATTCACAGAGATCTTGCTCCATGTAGCATAGGATGGAGAATCAGAGGGAAAGTAGCACAACAGTGCATATAGTCCCTTAGAAATCATACATTCCTTCAAAATTGCTCATGTTCAAAGGTTGCCCCAACAGGCCTAGTTTCTAATTTTCAATCTCATATGGCCAGAAACACACGGATCAATAAAGAGATTCCTAGTATCTTAAGCCAAAATCTCTTAAACCAGCTAAGTGTTTATATTGCCCTCCAGATCAAATCCTTGTCCAAATAAGTCTTAGACCTTACGCTGCGTCTTCATATCTTCCCTATTTTTTACTTTGTATGCAATGAAAAATATAACTTAAAATAATATTGGATGAATTTGCTTACATTTCTCAATACAAATGGTATACGGAAAAAGTGCAGAAATGTATATTTACATTATCCTCTAAGATTGCTACATGCTAAAATCAGGTTTTATGAAAATTCAGCTACTGCAAAGGTCAGAAAAGGAAATTAGAGTTCTAGCCCTCTATTTATACCACAGCACAGTACATTCAGTTCACTGGACAATGCCATTTACTCATTTTAATAAATAAAAAATGGATTCGCAAATCAAATGCAGATCTTAAATAATTTCTTATGGCTACTTTAGATTATCAATAGCTTTGATTCAGGGCTTTTCTAAAGTAGTACATGCAGTGCTTATGCTAAAAAAAACACCATGCAATTTTGAAAACTATCGCCATACTGCATCACTAAAATGGAATGAAGTCCTACATTATCTATCTTTGAAACGAACCACTGTATGTAAAAGGAACTCACTTTTTGCTGGTTTCTCTCATTAAATTGCTATACATTGTAAAATGCTGAAAGACATGTATCGCTGTGGAAAGAGCAATGTACAAGTTTTGCACTGGAACTTTGGAGGGAACATCTTTGCTTTTCTCCTCTAGTGTTGCCAGGACAGCTGTTGCTACTTTGCTGCAGGCCTCTACAAAGTTTGTTCTAATTTCCTGAAGAGAATCATCTTTGCATGCCAGAGCCAATGGAAGCAATGTGTCAAGTTCTTCCATGATGTCAGAACAAAACTGGGGAGAAATAAACGTGGCATCAAGTTATTTGTATTCTGACAGCTCTGTTTAATTTATACACACTAGGGTCAGATTCTTGAATAATGAAATTGGCATAAAACATAAATATATTGAATCAGCTTTACAAACATTTCATTCTGTTGTACAAGAGAAAATATTTATCTACAGAAAATGAATTATTACTTCACTCCTCCTTGCTTTAAAGCTGCATAATATAAATTGAGAAAAAAATTAAAACCATCTTAGGTTAGCAATGCCTTCATTTTGTTTATGATTTCATTAGAAGTACATTCAAAGCATAAGGTTAATTCTTTGTAAACAGAGATAATTTTCTAAACTACTTTTGAAAAACCATGTAAATACACTTTTAATATTGAATTTGAAAATGAACTTCTCATGTCTTAAGCGCATACACTTATTAACAGCTTCCCAAATTTACTAGAACAGTTGCAAAGCTTACTACATTCAAAAAGTTCCATATACTTCTTCCATTAGACAAACAATTTAATTAATCAACATCGATGACCTTTTGGCCAAATCAGAGAACTCTAATCTGGCCATACTATTGGTTATGCTGATTAGTTAAATGGCATGTCTAAGGAAATAAAAACAGGAAATCCCTTTATAGTAATGCTTCAAAGCTTTCAAGCATTTTCCTATCAAACCATTTGGTAGCAGAGCAGATACTAATCAGAATGTTTTAAAACTTTTTGGATGAAAAAAAAAATAATGCCAGCAAAGTTTAAAAGTTAATTCTTTTAAGTTTAGACTATGGGCTATTGTATAAAGCTCTGTTCAGCATCATATTGTAATGCCTCTCACTTTCTTCTTAATTCCATTTATATAAGATGTAGAATATTAATGGTACTGTAAGTACTTCAAAGCATAGATGGCAAAACAGCCTTGGCATTCTGTCTCCCTTCAAACTTCAGATCTTTTGATACCTGCCTTAGCAATTCGTTTTGGTTGCTCCTCTTGCGGGACTGCTCCCCAGGACTCCCTCATTTGCTGGTTGTTTACAAGGCTCATTGCGTAGCCTGCAGCTGAAGACTGCTCTTTCTGCTCTTGTTGAAGAATTTTAGTTGAGAAATCCTCAATTGCTATTGTTATGCAGTGAGCCACAGAAGATGACAGGTCTTTAAATGCATTTCTCCAGCCAAAATCCAGTAAAATAGGCTGAAACACACATTTTTATTAAATCAATCCAAATTCCTTAGAGTGTTATTGTTGAGATTGTCCTAAACTTATATGAATACCCATGAGTAAATTAATTATAAGGACACCATCATCTTTTGAAAAATCATACAAGTAACTTAAAATACAGATCAGTAGCCTTGAAATTATATTCAAAGGAATATACACACTTAACAAAAATGAACGTGCCTAATGATATTAATTTGTCAAACTGATAAAAAATGAATTTCTAAAAAGCTTATTTAAATAAAACTGTTTTTATGTAAGCGTTGCTTTATCTTCATACTTTTTACCATATTTATTGCAATCTATTTAACAAAGTCAAATATATTTATAACCATTTCAATAGTTTAACAAGTAATCCAGGAATGGATACCACATAATAATTCTTCATTTTCACTGCAAGCTAACGACTGAAAGCTACTAACCACAAACATTAACAGTAAAACATTTACAGAAGCCAGTTTTAACACAGCCAGTGTTTTTCACTTCTTTACTGCTGGATTTAGCAGAGATTAAATGGAGATGTCTAGCTTTCAGCCAATGCTGGATTTTACTACAGTTTACACTAGGAGTTGCCAGCCTTCTATAAACAATGACTTCTGAGGTTATCTGAAGCATAACAATTGCACCGAAGACACAGTAGGAAATAGTTGCTTTTCCACTAATTTTGCTTTGCATGGCTCATATGACATAAAGCAGACAAAGCTTACTAGCAGTGGCCCACTGAGAACTGCACAACTGTTAAGAGAAGTGTCATAATGACATAAGATGTACTCTAAAGATCCCTACCTTTGAGGGCACAGTAGGAGAAAAGAAGCATTTCTAACAAGCTGCAGCTACAATGCTAAATTGGAAGACAACGAAAGGGGCTATGAAGTGGAGCCCACCAAGCTCACTCCAATTTACAAGATGCCTCCTCCTTCCTTTTTCTCACCCCCAACACCCAACTCCAGTGAGTACATAGGCAGCCCACCCACTCCCTTGTTCCTTGTAATATACCAAATATAAGAACTTTAGCCTCACAAATTGATTCGAAGGACATTTTAAAAAGCCATTTCAGCCTTAAAATTGAGCTGTTATTGTACAGTAGTGGAATGCCATTCACTATCAGACTTTTTAGAGCACTCACGTCCCCTAAACTCATTTGGGTAGTAAAGGGCAGCCACACTACATCTTAATCTTGCACATACATTCTACAAAGCATAGTGCTTACTACACAGTAATTTGTTGCATCAAAGAAATTGGACATCATGTGAGCACACATCCCTATAGAAAGCATCACTATGATCAAATGCTAAGAATTCAGTAGATTTTCTAAGACTGTGCTGCATTTGAGAATACATAAAATACTGGAAAAAGCTATCCATTTCTGCATTTTACTCTTTCTTTTAAAATGTAATATCCTATATATCTGATGTAAAATCTGATCTGTAATTAAATGTTAAAAAAACAGCCCCTTCTTCATGAAGGCTGTAAGATTTTATTCTGCTTTAACTGAAACTTTGGACTCAAAATTAGCTGCAGTAGCTAAATAATGGAACTCTGGCAATAGGTGTTTATAATGAACATGGAGAGACAGACAAAAGAAAAACCCCTGCAAAGTGCAAGACTCTCTTCATACTCACCTCTTTTACCTGAAGTAACTGTTCAGGAAGCACACTGGTTTCATTTGCTCTAGTTTCTCCTATTAAAAGCTCCCCACTAGCTTTCTTCAGAACTCCTGCACAGTATGATAAAGGGGATCAAAGTTAAGATTAATTCTGTAGAAAAGTCAGCAGCCTACAACACCTTCTGATATAGCAATATGAACCATAAAAAAAAAAAAACCTCAACAAGGTGTAGTGGAATACTAATGTTATGATAAAGTCAAATTCAGGTTATACACAGCTCTTTTTATATAATATGATGAAATCCACATCCCATTGTATTCATATTTTATATACACACACATATAATGCATAAAATATAGCTTCTTTTGTCATTAATTCATTTTTATACTGATTGTGCAGTCACCTATTTCTAGGGAGAACAGATAACATTAGAACAGCTGTGTAGAAATTAATTTCTATTCTTTGTTCAATAAATTAAATGAATTGCACAGTAATGTATTTTTATAGTTTTTACTTATTTAGAAATGCCAATATGATAAGAATAAAAAGACAGTTAGTTAGTACAGTTATTATAAGCAAAATAATGGCCACAGGAACCATAACAGGTGAAGCTCCTTGAGAAGGCCTGGTACAAAGGCTCACTCATAAATCTTGAAGTAATGGGAATATTGCCCTGGTTTCAACAGGGATAAACCAATATCTAGGGCATACGACACTACCATCAGTGTTTCATAATGACCATGAGAATAAAACCAAACAAAATGGTATTTTTAAAATCCATCTCTTAGCATAAAGTTGGAAATTTCCACAGGTGTAAATATTCTTAACATATCTGATGTGAAATTTAAAAATCTGAAATGATAGGGTGCTGTCAATCATTGCTAAAGATTATCTTTTAAGCATAAACTAATAAATCTTTGGTCACCTGAAGTACTCGTACTACATATGGCCAAGGCTTAAAGAGCATTTTTGTTTCTATGAAATGTCCAATATTTGTACATGCACAGAAATTCACTTACGTAAAGTTGATTTTACCTTTCCCCTAAACAATGCATCCTCTGAAAAAGAACATCCTGCTTTTCAGACACCTATATACCATTCTAAAATTTGAACTTCTTTTTTTTTTTTTTTTTTCAAAATACTGTTTTCATTTACATTTTCAAAGAGGGCCAGGGAAAAATAGATTGGAGCTGTGAAAAAGGAAAGATAAAGTGGTAGAATATAAAAACAGAGGAGACTACCCAGGTCATCTAGCTCCCTTATCGTTCAAAATATGGTGTTACATACCGCACCATAAACTTAGTGCTTTTTTCAATAAGCTTTAACATATAATATGATGAATTTTCCTGAAGTTTCTTTAGAAATTATTCCAGAATGGAAAAAAAAGAAAAACAGGATATATTTCCTCAAATTCATTCTCTGTTTTCTACCTTAAATTTGCCTCATTTTTTCCTGGTCATTCTCCATTTTGGTAGATATATCAGCTGATTTTAACTATAAGCACAATTTGAATATCTGCATATTCACATTCTCTTGTTGACATGACTAAGATCAGCTGTTTATAATTCTTTGACTCTTTCTCCAAAAGTCAAAATCCTTTAACCTTCTAGTTCTCTTCAGAATGTCCTTCAGCTTGTTAGTATTTGTAGAGCTGACCTGAAGTGGATATAATATTTTAAAATAATTTTTGAACTGTTGTAAACTACCACAGGTCAATCCAACAGAGCTATGATAACAAAAGCAATGGATCTCTCAGGTTTATCAACACTTTAAACTGAGATCCTTGTGTATTTGCAGAACTGCTGCCCTACCTTACTAAGGACTCACGTCTTAGATAAATAAGTACTCAGCTGATGTAAATTTGCGTCTCCAGGACCAAATTCTAACAATTCTTTCCCAAGAGAAAGAGCCAAATGATGTTTCCCTCAGCATCATTCATTTTAAAATTTCCCTCCTTTTAAAATCAACAGGCCCTTCCTATACCTCCTCATCTCGTTCTCTACGATAGCTTGTTTTCTACATCTTGCCCTATATTCACATATATACATACATGTGTATATACCACACACCCCCTAAGCATTTTCTGGTCTTCTCAAAGAAGCTCCAAGGTCAAATCTCCTACCTGTCACCAAGTTACTCTGCTTTCCCAAAACTTTGCTTTCCCCAAATCTCATCTAGGCAGAGTTTGCCTTAATCCTGCCCAACTTAACCTCCAGCTAGCAAGGGCTCCTCTCATACTTTTCCTGATCAGCTGACTTTATGCACACTAGTCACAGCCTCCCCAAAGCCTCTGCATGTTCAGATGCTACCATAGCCTGCTTCTCAGTAATTGCCGTTTCCACACAGACACATATGACCTGTTTTGTTACTTCTCAGCTTGTTTTCTGATTGCTTTGCCCTAACCAGCAAGCTCCCCTGGGAAACAAAAGTGGAGCCCTGCCTAAGAGACTGGTGCAGTCACTCTTGTGAAGCTACTCAGCCTAAAGTAGACTGCCATTACACTCACGAAGACAAGCCATGAAAAACAGGAAGCACCTAGAGGCACCTAGATAGCCACAAATCTTTTGACTCTTCACAAGTTCTTTGGTACCTCTCTTCTCCCAAATCCCATACCTCAAACTCCACTTGTGAGGAAAGACATAAATGTTATACTATTCATACGGCTGCTGGAAGAAAGAATTTGCAAATACAGAGTGAAAGGAAGCAAGTGTTGTGAAAGAAGTAGGAAATAAGCTGAAGAAAAACTTCTCAGTTTTTCACATTTGCTCCCTTTCTAGGATATATTCTATACCTCCACACTGAAAATCATTGTTCTTGATCATTAGGGAAGATAGAATCATCCACAAATCCCTGTTGTATCTTTGCTGAAACTTTTGACAGACTTGATAAATTGTTCATAGTGTATGTACTTCCTTCAGTTTTACCAGGCAGGCAGTTTGAATCTATTTAATAGCAAATACGCAAGAAAGATTTTATTAAGAGCTTCACTTAAAACTTTGAGGCCAACTTTTCCCAATTGTATGAAAATTTGTCTGGGATTATCCTTGTCTTTAAAACAAATCTTTTTTGCCTATTGCCGCATTGCCTGCGATGTATTTAATTCTTTCTCCCACTCAGTATTTGTTCTATTATTGTAAAGACAATGAGATTTACTGCTTTGCTAATATAATTCTTCGTCTTCCCTGTAAGAAATTCTACTAAATTGATTTTTCTACAGAATTTGAATGCCTTCCACTTTCTTTCATAACATTTTGGGGCATGAGAACTGTCATAATCATTTCATTTAACACCTAGCATAGAGTGCACCTCCTATGCATCAAGGAGACGTTTTCTATGACTGCTCACTAACTGTGCATAAGCTAAGTAATAGTATCAAAGCTATTTGCCAAATCCAAAGTTGGATTCAGTAGGCTCAGCCATAACTTTTACTGAAACTGTACTGGAGAAAACATGTCTTGAAGAAGTGGGAAACAGAACTCCCCACAAATATAAATGAGCAGAAGAAACAAAAAATATTTTACTAGCTATAGATTTAAAAACTTCTTATGTTCTGTCTTCCACAATGGACTATTTATTTGTTGTGCTATACTGAGCAAACTGTAATAACACAAACACAGAAAAGTGCCTAGTGTAAATTCCATCTTTACATCAGCTTGATCTGCTGAAAACTAGTATTTGCTAGAGCAGCTACTTGAATATCTTGCTTTTGACCAAAGCAAAAAAAAAAAAAAATTACAAAGATTCAAGAAAGCAAGCTGTAACTTCAAAGTCTATTACGAGATTACACCTCAAATTTGATTCTGTACTCCCTATATAACACTTTCCAGAAATGGATACAGAGCAAAGGATTTCTTCTTATACCATGAAGGGAAGACCTTTGCAAATCTTTGCAGTCCCCTGAGGCAAAGCTTGTAAACCTAAGGGCTTGACAACTTTGCCCACAGTGTTTTCAAAGAGCTCTGTTGGGAAAAGCTTTTCTTGGTACTCATTATCTGATCTGTCCAAAGTTCACCTTTCTCATTGAAATGAAAAAAAAGAGAGAGACACAGATGAAAGTACGTTAGAGGTTTTTGATTTTTAAAAGTCTCAACAAGAGGCTTCTGAAATGCCAGAGGAAAGAGAAATCTACCTTAAAGAGAGATAGAAAATGCAATTTGGCATGATTCTAAATCAAGATCTCCTGCTTAACCCTTGACTACAGCTGAACGTTCCAGGTTCCTTCAAAGAGAACAACTCCTGTGATGCTGAACGTACTAGGTATGTCAGAACACTTCAGGGATTTCAACTGAATGTAAAGCGAGAAATAGACTCATCACAGTAGGGATGATAAGATCTGCAAAAGAAAGGGTTAAATATCTCTTCAAGAAAAAAAGGTGGTGGTTATTCCTTTCATTTTCTGAAACCTACTGCTAATGGTGGAAGGAAGTGAGGCTATGCAACACTAGCAATAAATGCTCTGTAATTGTTAGAAAAATACAGATACCTTTCCTCAGAAGAGCTGAGTGGTAGTCTTGTCCAGATGACATGCTAAAGTTCAGTGATGGGACAAAGCTCCATCACCATTTATTTGTCAGCCTGAGAATTTGTCACTACGTTCCCCTTTTACATGATTTAAGAGAATGATTGAACGTTACATTGCTAGTATATGAAGTGAGTATTTACACCGCCTTTTCAGATATTTGTTGTGCATAGGTAACAGAAGTAGTGCATTGAAAAGAAGTGCAAAACTTGGCATGCATATGAAGAACGTGCTTAGTTGGGTTTGAAAGTGAAAAGTCAAAAAATAAAATCGGTACGAACTGGATGGAGAATACTGGAAAGTTATAGTGGAAAATACAATGTATAGATTATCCTTCCACCTATGCAAAACAAATCGGGAAAATGAATATACTGAATATATTCCAGAAGATGCTACATATAGAACTCTCAAACCGAACTCAGAGAACTATCCATATCACCTAAAAAACCCTGTACCTCCATCTCCCTACAGAGTTCACTCTGGTTCACTGCTTCCTTTGGTGCTATTGTCTGCCATGGGGTTACCATCAGAGAATAATGGTAGGCAGTACTTCCCTCTAACATCTATTTTCAACCGCCTAAATTGGTCTTCATAGGATTCTATTGTGCACACTGCAAAGAAACTTGTCTTGTTGCCAGCTAGAACTGTGAACTACATGTCTTTCTTTTCTTCACTGTTCTTTTTTTGGTTCACAAGCAACCTCCTACCAAAAGCAGAATCTGCAGAAGAGACTACATCCAAGCGATAATGGTATGAAGAGAAGCCCAGGTGGCCACCTTGCAAATTTCCAATGTGGAAGCCTTCGACCTCTCCGCCCAAGAAGCAGCTATAGTCCTAGTGTAATGAGCTTTACAAACCCTGGGAGCCTCTTTACCCTTAACTACATACGCCTCCCTAATACAATCCCTTAACCATCTAGCTAAGGAACTCTTAGAAGCCATTTGACCCCTCTTAAGACCCCCTAAGAGTACAAACAATCTGTCAGAAGATATGAAATCTTTGATTCTTCTGTGATAAACCCTAAGTGTTCTTCTTACATCCAATTTATGCAGCCATTGCTCTTTGTCATCGCTGGGTTTAGGGAAAAACGAGGGCCAAGAAACCGCCTGGTTTAGATAAAACTCAGATGCCATCTTTGGGACAAAAAAAAAAAAATTAAAAAGAGAAACTGTCCAAAGAACTACTTTGTTTCTGATGGAACTTTACACATGTTCTGTATATCAAGACTGAAGTACCATGGGATATGCTGAACAAAAATCAACTAAAACTGCCATTGAAACAGCAATACACATAAACACAACACATGACATGAGTACCTAAAAAAAGACCGATATTTTTGTTGCATTTCTGCATGAATTAAATAGATAAAAGGCCTTCAACAATACTAAAAGCAACCAATAAGAAAAGGAAGCAAGTGCAAGGTTCTGGTCTATTTGATGTCCGGGGAAACTTTAGTTTGCTTAGATATTAGCCTACTTATAAATTGTGTAGTTTTCCCTAATTTAGCAACAGTACTACTTGTAGAACATCGATTCTTCAGGTATGCTTGCACTGCAGTGACTGCATAATAGTTCAGATACACCCAACGTAGGTTTAAACTAGCAAGAAAGAGTATGGGTAACTGTCTAGCAACAGCAGCACACAGTTCAATCTGAGCTAATTTACTCCGCTTCTTAGGCTAGTTCTGCAGCCTCTGCTGTACTGTAAATCTGCTACTAGTATCCGAGTTAATTTAAAGCTTCTTTGGACAGATTTGCAGTAGATAACCTGTTAAATTCTTTACAAGATTTCTAACAAGAAGGCTTCTAAACAAGTACAGAAGACGGCCATTATATTTGCTAGTCATATACTATAAATGAATACTGGTTAAAATAAAGTAAGGATTTTAATCAATTAATCTGATCAAAACTCAGGTTTCATCTGTGGAAAAAAAAGATTATCAGCCTAATATAGGACATTAACAGAAAAAAAAATCTCAAATCCCTTTTGGTACTTATCAGAATCGGGAACTACTGGGAACATAGCTCTCATTCTCCCATATCAAATCATCTTTCACTTCATCACTACATCTGAGATTTCTAACAATATGGAGTGAAAATAACACAAATAAGTCCTTCTTCTTGTCAGATTTTTTTTTTTTGTTACTCTGGCTATGTCACATGTTCTGCTCACATATTCTCCAGAAACTGATACAACTGAGCAAAGTTTTGTGAGTAAAACCACCTGATTAGAACAGCAAAACTGAAAACAAAGATATGCCTGATGACAGCACTAACCTCATCTGTAAAAGATTTACCTTCACATGTATTTCAATTTTGTGTTTTCTTTAGAACAATAAGACTGCCTCCTACAAGCTGATCTAATTTTGCCCTCTCAGATTTGATAACTAGAGCTACTATGTAAGAATAGACTTACTATAGATACAATTACTGTAAGAGAATATTTCTCAAAAAAGAAGGCTTAACAAGCTTCTCAGGAACAGTTCTTAATATAATTAAGCTTGGAGAAACACTTGCAGGATGAAGTCCAAAACACACCTTCTAGCAAGTAAAATATTTGTTGTTAACGCTGAAATCATTAAGTTCTTTAAATTACTGGAGATCACACGTCTTCATAGAGCCTATAGTTAGCCAAACATGTCAAGTATATTCCCCATTCCAGCGTTTTAAAAAATGTTAACATTTTATCCCGGAAAACACACACAGAAAGAACACCTAAAATTATCCCATTCTACTGAGTGTATATTGTATCTTACACATTAGCATTATGAGTACAAATGGGAATAAGAGTTACAATAACACCTCTTTGTAGGATTCAAGGCCATACAAAGTACAGCATACTGTATGACAGCTTAACATTTCTTGAGAACAACTAGAAAATTTAAGAGCTTAAAGGAAACAGAAACACATTAAAATCAATAGCAAAAATGTAACTTTGAATGCAAATTTTATTTGAGCTTTGATGTATATTCTAAAAATATTTAGAAATAGAAATACAGGTTAACCTGTATTTCTTCATTTTACAGTGTTAGTACCTCAGATGAAGAATCCAACAACAAAATCTGTGCCTCTGAACTCTTTTTATTTCTTTTTTTTTTTATTTGTCAATTTAGTATTCTCAGACCACCATCCCCAAATGCCTTTCTTCTCAGCCTGCAGCTTGGCTACAGAGGTACTGAGTATTTGACTCCACCTATCATCTTACCCTAAGCAGCCTGGCCTCATTTCTGGTACGATCCTTTCCTGCAATATAATCAAAGCTCTTGAAACCACCTGCTCTCTGGTGACCTGGAATCTCTCTACTGGCAAAAGTAGCAGAGTAGAACACTTAAGAGCATGCTGCGATCTGGAAGGTGTTATTCATATGAGTTTCCAGGATTTCAGGTTCCCCTCATCTGACATGAATGCAATCAGATGAAAACGAGTGAGCAAATACAGACTACAGGCTTGATTCTGAAAAAGTTGACTTTGTGATCAAGAGCTTACTCTTATAAAGAGTCTCAGTGAAGTCAATGGGACGGGCATGACAGTAAACATAGTACATTATTTGTAAGTGTTTGCAGGAACTACAGGCTAAAGCAGGACTACGCACTATAACATTTAGTTACATGTGTATTAAGACTGATAACACTGATGTTCAAGTCAGTGCTTTTCTCTCCTGAAAAAGGCAGGTTTCTAGGACAAGGTCAGAAATAGTCACAGTTTCAAACAAGGTAGCCTTCATATTTGTCCTTCACTTTGTCCTATATAAAATATAGGATATTTATACAGATTCAATAGGGACACTAATATTTCTGATTACAATGTTTGATAACTTTTCATTTGGTTCTTCATCAATAACTACTGTATATTACATATTTATACGCAAGTTTCTGTTCTTTTCTACAAGTCATAACTGTACTTAAATGTAATTCCGCATATTTCAAAAAGATATTTTCAGTGGATATGGCAATACACTTGTTTATATAATGAGATGACAAATATTAGGTAGTTAATTTTGAAAAACATATAAAACAATCCTTTTGCACAAACCTGAATCAATAAATAAGGAAAAGCTTCCATTACCTTGAACATTCGTATTCTTTTCAGCAAATGAAGGCACCAACAGAATTTCTGCAGATAGTTCTTCAAGTTTTTCTTCCATTAATAAAAAGAGTTTAATAAGTTGAGAAAGACATTTGAGTTGATACAACGTTAAACAGAAGTTTCTTCCTTTTTTGTGGTATTCTTGGGAGGCTGTTCAAATAAAATCATGAAATACTTTTTACTTTTGCTTAAAAAAATGATTCTGCAAAACTGATTATGGCGAAAAGTATAGTATACTAAGTCACCTCATTTTTTTCCTAGAATAACATATCCTCTTTCTCATTCTAAACTATAATATTAGTTCTTACTAATCCTTTGGCATTTTTCAAGTATGCAGGAAGTTACAATAGAGTTCCAGGTTTTATTATTCATTAACTAGCAACTTTCCAAGCAAAAGATATATACAGAGAACATTCTTACCTGCATTTTACAGAAAAAATAATGTTGCAAAAATTGATTGAACAAGTGAAAAAACACATCATTACTATATTTTAATGGTTTGGGACATCACATCACTACACTGTCACTCTGCAAGTCACCTTGTCTGTTTAACAATCTGCTAGCACAATACAGTTGATGAATATGACATCTGAGTGAAGAGAGACATCAATCTAACACTCCACAACTTTAAATATGAGGGGATTGAAAACAAGTGAGACTGTCAGTGAACAAATATCAGCAAGTATTACACCTATAAGCATTTGGTGTTCAAAAGAAGAAACTGAACATTTTATTTTGAAAGGTTAACACTTAGAGTCATAACATATAATCAAGTCACATCAACCGGGGAACTCTGCTTTGAGCACAGTCAGAGTACAAAAGACTGAGCTGTTTCCAATTTGGTTTTCCCAAACTACACTGTTTAAACAACTTTAATTTTAAAATTTCTTTAAATGTAATAAATTTGCACTTCTATGCAAATTGCTGTGAGCTGATACCATGTTCCTATGGAGTTCTGTTGCAGATGTAATATCAGCAGAACAGTTTATGTAGAAAGTGTCAGTGAGAACCAGAGTAACTTGAAAGGCAGGCTCTGAAAGACGAAAACAAATAGAAATTGATTGAAATGTACTTTTGTGTGTCACATCTTTCTTACCTTTGCAATTTGAAGTATTCAATTCCTCCCTTTTTCCTCAAAGTTCCTAGATTTTTTTTTTTTTTAAGGTATTCACAAATCACTTTTAAATACACATAGATCTAAGTAGTGGAGCTGAGCTCTGAATACAAATTCCCTAATTTGGTATTCCAGTTTTGGAGCTTTAGAGATTGAACTGCGAGTTTTGCATCCACATCTGAATTTCCTCAAAGTTCTAAACAGATGCATTCATGCTAATCCTTTGCATTTCTAAGAATGGCAAAAGAAAACGTTATACATAATTGCCTCTGTTGGCGCCTCTCCTCTCTGAATAACAAGGAAATTGTATCACTGAATTTCCAATTTTAAGTTTTAAACTTCCAATAAAAGATACGCTACTATTTAGAGAATTTTTCACCTTTACCTGCAAGCTTGATAACATAAACTAAGTATGATGGATATGACATGACTGTCTGAATCTGCAGACAGTCAGAAATAAAATATCCAAGAAGTGAGAACCACAAATCATATCATAAAAATCAATGGCATGTTAGTTCTGTGTCCTCTGATTGGAAAACCTTGTGATGCTGCTGCACCCTCACTTGAGGGAGAAAGAAACCTACCAACTACGCGATTTTCCCAAGCTACATTGTCCTCATTAGAGTGAAACGAAGTGCACTGAGAGGCCAAATGTATACCACAGAAACATTTTTAGAATACAAAACTAAACTCAGAGAAATGAAAACTTTTATTTTTACTTTCAATGACTATTCAAAGTATATTTCAGCTGGAAACAGAAGATATTAAGTTCCAAGATCCCTCTTCTTTCATGCCATTGAGAAGTTCAGAACATGCTTTAATAAATGATAAAGTGTATTATATTATATGCAAACCAACACTTACATAATCTTTAGAGCAAAATCTTACTCATTAATACTACACTGTTCTATAAACTCCTGAATCTACTGTAATATATAAATTAACATACATCTTCATATGAATAAGTACTCTATTCATTACATAACTTAAAGTAGAAAAAGGTAGAAATAATACATTAATTGAAATACTTAGAAACCAAATAAAAGATAACATTTTTATTCCTTAAAGAAAATGCTATTTGACTTTAGGCAGATGAAGAGTGCAATTGTTCTTCCATATTACAGAAAAAATTATTGAAGATAATGAGATGAAACCGGAGATCAAAAGGGCATTCGCACTGTGTACTGCGGTAAAGTCTTGAAAGAAAGGTCCTGCCGCAGTGAGCACTCCACAGACACGTTCTACTAATGAGGAAGTCATAACATGGCAAATGAAACCTGAAAGTTTTCTGTTGGGTACACCCTTCTTGTGAAGGCTACACATGAGCTTCTCCTTTGCTCCTGCTGCTCAGAGCATGGCTTATTAGAGAAAGGGCTCCTGCCAATGAGCAAGTGAATTACATCTGGAAAAGACTTAGAGAGATGGAAGAAGCAAGTAGAAGACTAATATACATATTGACTAGACAGGCCTTGGAGAATATCAGTCACTGGTACTTAACCTGTCTTTTCTCTTTGCATGAGATCACATATGCACTCTACCAAGGATTAGATTCCCAACAATAACCCCGGCATCAGTTACTAGGCAGAGTTATCTCAAAGGCCTGTCACCCAAATGATAAGTGCTGCAATGCAATGAATAGAGCAACAGTTCTAGATACATGAGAGAACCTGGTCAGAACCACAGGCAGCCACGAGCCAAACGTACAGGACACAAGTACTGCACCACACAGTCAGCCAAAGAGATTCCTTGAATTCTGGTTGAAGATGCTCTGACCACTTTTGGAAGTTCCAAATTTATGGTTTAATAATAATTTGAACCTTCACCAACTCAAGAGTCCTGACTCCTTCAGCTTCAGGAGATAACTTGACTAGAATATAGTCAAGATAATGGCATTAGAAGAGGGGAGGGAAAGATGAGACCATCATATAAAAAAAATACGATTTTCCTAGAACTGCTTACACTAGGGAAAAGGAACAGTTGACCCTAGAGAACCATCTTGCACCAAAGCTGTGAGGCAGACAACTCCTGGGCTGGGGCAAGTCATCTGACCAAAGTCCTAAAACTGTTCTGGAAGGAGAATAGAGAGGAAAAGCTTCAGAACTCTCCCAGATAATCACAGTTTCATTGTTATCTCAAATCACCAGCTGATGTATAGCTTGAGAAAGAAACCTCAAAATCACATCATTAAAATATACTGCCTCTTTATTAAAATATACAAGTATATAGACATACTAGTTCTAGCTCCAGTACAGTAAGAGATACACTCTGCCTAATACCAGGAAAAACATAAGAAGTCATTGGGACCCACATAAAGTCCATTTCATGACTCTGTAAAAGTAAGCATTTGCAAGCAATGATTCTTTAGCCTACCTGATTTTGTAGATTGTGTAGATGTTTACTGAGCATACAAGTTACATTTTCTGTTATAAATTCCTGAATGTTTAAATCAACATTGCTTGTACAAACTGACCCCCATATATACATGGGTATATATGATACAGGCATATATCCATATATACACGGGCACATCCTACACACGTTTACAGGATATATAGAGACCTCCATATACTACAGCTAACCAATTCTTAAATGTTCATTTGCACTCCGTTAGGTTTTGATATCCCTTTGAAAAAGATAACAACAAGGTAAGGGGATTTACATTTGCAACCAAAGAGCCAGCTGTGAGAAAGATTCATGCGTCTACAGAAGCTTGTTACAACACTACAGACAGGTCAAGCCACGTACTCTCATGTTACCAGTCAACACAGCTCAAGCTGTCTTATTACCAAACCAGGCTACCAACCAAAATCAATGGTAATGATGCAACAGGTATTTAAATTGATAAGCGCTGGCCCAAAACCAGCTCCTAACCGTTAGGCTCCTAGCCTTCACAGGTCACATAGTTATGTGTTATTCTGTACAGTTCACATAGTTTAAGGGGTTGTCCACTCAGGGTAGTAAATTTGAACAAACCAAGTCTTATCCAGAACTATCACTACAGGGCTTGTTCCATCTCTTTTTACTCATATGGAAAACACTGGGTCTTTACTACAGAGTGACGTCCCTGTTATTGAATAAGTATACCAGAGAGACAGACACAACGGGAGCAGTGAGAGCTGGCTTTTTCCTAAGGGACAGGGAGCAGAGCACAGAGCACAGTAACATGGCCAGCAGGGTAAGGTCCTTACCAGCCAGGACCCCATCTCACAGCCCCCAAACAAGGCAAGCAGGGCAGACCTGCAGATGGCAGCCAGGTTCAAACAAGAGTCCAGACCATCAGGTAAGCTCATGGTGACAAGGCAGGGCCAAAGTCAAGTCAGGAAATCAGTCCACAGGTCAGGGTACGGATCAACAGGGCCCATGGCCATTTGCAGACACAGCTGTAGCTGAGTTGGAGACCAGTACTCCTACAGCACAGCTGGGGCAGGGCCCAGCTCTGACCTTAAATAGGATCCTCAGCTTATCGCAGGGTGGGGTGGTGGTCCCAGGTGAGGCTCCTTAGAGCCACTGATACCTGTTAGTGCACAAAGTGCCTTGACACATAGCACTTAAGGAGCTTCAGTTTTCAGATTAAACCTTAGAAGAACAGGTGACCTCTCTAAAACTGTACTCCCCATGAGATACTTACACTTTGTATCTACTGAAGACAGCATAAATACTTGGCCAAGAGAACACAACAGAAAGCATTTTAGGCTTCTACTACCAAGCCTGTGGTACTTTTCTAGGAAAAAAAAAATCTACAAAGGCAAAAATGTTGTCAAGTAAATTGAACCTGTACTTGTACTAAGCAAATAAAGCGTGATAGCTCACTACAGAAAACTGGAAGGAAGCAGAGAAATAAGTCCGTAACATTCACAATCTTAACATCCTCATCCTGTGATCTCTACTCTTAATATGCACACAGAGACAAAGGAGGCATAAAGGGTACTTCCTTTCCTCTGGCATGCTGATTCACCATCCCAACCATCAGCTGACAGGCAGCAGGAGTCTGCCATCCCAAACAAGCTGGCTCTCAGACAGCTTTGCTGATAAAAAA